ATTATAGGCTTGTAGTTATCCTGAAGTAAGTTATAATATAAGGGCCCGGGTGTGAAGTACTTGACAGGGTTCCCTCAAGAGATACAAGTCACTTTTAAAAACAAGCATCTGGTGCTCTACTGAATGAAGCTAGTTTTAGTATCTATCAACGTATGTGCAGTAGCTATGTCAATGTATGTACTAAATGTATCAAATTTGTGTTCAGTCTGTTATCCCCACAGAAGTTAATCAACAAGAGGAGCAGTGGGGGAAACCCCATTTCTCTCTTCCTTTTTTTTTTTTTTTTTTTTTTTTTTTTTATTGTAAGCTGTTGTTTCTTCTACTTTTTTTATGTTGTCCTATGTATAAATAGCATTTTGGGCTGTCATGGGGCGTTGCTTGACATGGCTTTGGCACTGGAAATTGCAATATCTGGAAATTGCCTCTGCCTTGGGACAAAATACAATGCACAAGGATGGATGGGATAGATAAAAGCAACCAGTAACCTCAGGTCCCAGCTGTCTTTCTGCATATCCACTCCCTAGCAGTTTGAATCTAGAGTAAATAACTTTTCTGAATGGATAGATGTGAACTCCATGCAGGGAACTGGACAATGACCTGCCAGCATTCAAAAAGGATTTATAACCTGTAACTTCTTGTCTTGTCTGCTTCAGTGAGCTGTCTACCTTTTCCTTCCTCTTGAGGGATTGAGCAATCCATGCACTGGGCTGTGCTGAAAGAGCAATTTCTGAACTTGCTAATATGGCACCATCTTTCTGGCTCTCTGCCGGTTTTCTCTTACTTTTGTTGTTAAGTTGATTGTGTTCTGCCAGTTTGGAGAGAACTTTCTACATCAGTTTAACAAAGCATTCCCTTCTTTGTTTTCTACTATTCAGTATTCCACAGCTTTTACATACTGGAATTTGACCATCACACTGGACCAGCATGGCTGGCTGAGCTCGGCTGAAGGTTAGCATCATCGAAGCCTTTTTAAGGAACTATCTACCAGCTATTGACAAGAGGCCTGAATCTACCAGCCTGTAGACCACAACCTCTTTGTAGTTTTGTGCTCTTTACTTGAGATGTGGATATGGCTTGCTGTAGTGGAGAGATCACTAGTCTGATCATCTTGCCACTGAATGTTCTCCTGCATGCTGGCTCCCGTGCATTGGCGCTGGCAGGCCGCAGGGTTCAGAAAGCTCTTTGTCAGATGCGGTTGTTGCCAAGAGAAGATGTGTCTGCACCTTTAGCACTGAGAGATCATAGTTAAAGGAGACCATGCTCCTTCAGCCTCGTGAAGAGTTGCACAAGATTCCTTTGATAAACAGAAATATTGGAGGTTTGCTAGATTATCTGAAGTTCACAGTGGTATTCATCTTGTGAATGAGTGCACGTGTTATGTGCGGGTATTTGACTGTGCTGATAGTGACTAGAATTTGTTTTGATTTAAAACATTTTTATTGCTATCCATCGTAGATGTAAACCTGCAATTTGTCACACCTCTCCTTCCATTAGGCTACCCTGGGGAATAACAACTTCTTTTCTCTTGACATAGAGGAATACCAGCCTGAAGGCTCTGGTTTTAGGTTCTTCTGTGGATAGCTTCTTGTTTCAAGGCACTTGATGCTGCATATGTGGGATTTTTTTGGTTTCTTTCCACTGCCCAGGTTTTAGACCTTGACTGATAAACCCCTGAAGTTCTGCACCAAGAAAACAATCTGAAGAATAAGAAAATCCATGTTTCACATTGATACAATTATAATGCTTCCCAAAACCTGCCATTTTACTTTGTCACTTGTAGATGTTGATCGCTTCTGTTGCCTGTTTTGTGGTGCTCTCCTTGGCCTTTGTGTCTGTATAGAATTCTGCTATGCTCACCAGGGGGCTGCCTATAGACCCTGCTATAGGCTGCATCTCCTGCTTCAGTCTCTGACTAAGTGATATAGAGATAAATTACATTAATGTAGTAATGGGATGGTTATTTGTATTACTGGACGTTCATAAGTCAAAATGATACTTAGGTTGTAATTCTACTGCTCCTGCTTGATGGAATCTTCTGTCAAAGAGGATAAAAATAGTACTTGATTTTTTTGTTTATCTAGGCCATTTCTAAAGCAAAGGGATGTTGTTGCTACTAGTTTTGTGCATCTGAGACTGAGCAAACTCAGTTGTGGTCCTGTGATCCTTGTTTTTAAATGGTCCTAAAGATAGCACTGTTAGAAATTCCAAATCCATTTTTATATTGCTTCTGTAATTCCAATTCTGAGGTCTGATACTAAAGATGTGGAGTAATGGTTTAGAGGCATTCATAAGGTCTCATGGGATGTCCTATTCCTGTTTTGTCTTGAATGAAAAAAAACCCTCTAAGATAATACTGTATAGGGAAAAGAATTTGTGTTCATAAATTATTCTCTTGCAGCTGGAAAATGCTGTGCAACATTTATCTGTACTATAACATTCCTGTATTTATTCTCTAGATGAAAACCTACAATTTTTTTGTATGCTGTAATTTAGGAAAAGAATCTCTAAATCACTTTTTAAATTCCTTTCCAGTTGAGGCATAACATAGTCATTTTTGTTTTGTAAATTGAAAATGTTTCATACTTAAAAAAAAGCATCTGTTGTTTATTTGTTGCAGTCAAATAATGATCACTGAGATGGGTGGATGGGGGGTGTTGGGATAAAGGCATTCTGCAGTCAAGGCTGGATTGTGATCGTTTCACTTAGTTTCTGCTTTTCGTTTTTGTCCATATTCTTGCTTTCATGCTTTGAATTCATTATGTGCTTTTGTTACAGTAAAACAAAAAGAGGAAAGTTTGTGTTTTTTTTCAGTGCTGACTTAAAACAAGCTTGGGGTTGTTCAAACTACAGACAGTGTTTATTTTAAAGTTGATACGTTTCTGGGGATGGGGAGGGAAGAGCATCAAATAATTCTGTTTACAGACATTGAAATAAAATTAGTTTATCTGTCCTGTCAGATGCTTTTTGCCTTTTTGTAAGACAGTTAAACACTAGCTTTTCACTGAAAGGAGATGTGGATATAATATATGTGGCTACAAATATAATGGATATATTATGTCCATAATATGCTATGAAATTTCCCTTGTAGTACAATCTTAGCATTCAACATAATATAGAAAAATAATAGAACTATGTCTATACTTGTGTTTGGTTTTTCCTGTTTATTCCTCTGCTGACTGTTTTCTTGGAAACTTTAAGCAGTAGAGCACAACGACTGTGTCTTTGGCAAAGACAATCTGGACACAAATCACTGAACTTACAGATACTGAGTTAAGTGAAGGCAAAAGGTTGGTTGTGTGATATCAATTTTTCCTCCCTAGCATAGCCCATGAAAGCTATGTGGAGATTTTGGTGATCTTCTCCAAATGATTTGCATTTTCTGACTTCTAATAACACTGTTTTTTCAAATAATTTCTAAAGATAACATTTTTGTTGGCTTTCAAAATCATGGCATAGGACTGCAGTGTGTTAGAGATATTGTAGCTTTTGTGATAGGAGTGCGGGGTGGCTACTTGGGTTAGAATGATAGCTTATTACACGTTTTCAAATTCAGCCTTAGTGAAGATGTTCCATCAAGATTCCTGAATGCCAATAGTTTTTCTTTTGTCATATTAAATATAAGTAGTTTTGCAGAAAAATACAAATTCAGAAAGAGATTTTTTTTGTTTTGTTTTTTTTGTTTTGTTTTGTTTTCTATTTGTTTTGTGTGTTTGTTTTTTGTTTTTTGTTTTTTGTTTTTTTTTTTAAATCCAGAAGGGAAGTACTGATTACAGATTGTTATTTGTCTGAATGCCTCATATATTTTTGAAAGTGACTGAAAGCTCTTTTTTACTTATGATGATAAGAACAGAAGTGAGGTAGAGTACTTCAGGTAGTATACTGTTTTTGAACAAAATCTATTTTCAGTTAATTTTAAAAAAATTTTTTTACATGCTTAATCTATTTAAATGTTATAAAACAAATTACTGTGTTTCCAATACATGTGTAGTACTTCATGAGTAAAGATTACAATGTTTGCCAAACCTAATTTGCATAGATACCATGTCAGTGCCGGCAGTGCCAAGTGGCTGTACGTGGTCATTTTTGCTCTGTGCTTCTTGAATCGGGAGTAGGGGGAAAGTCGAGATAGAAGTCTGGGCTGAGCGTGGCGTGGGCCCACCGTGGCTGAGCATCACCATGAGCCAGCTGCAGCTGTGACAAGAGGTGTGGTACAGCCCACGGACAAGGGGTTCTTGAGGGGGAGGTGGTAACCTTTGAGCAGAGCCTGTGTAGGTTGTGTCCTGTTTTGACTTTATGTGGTGGCAAGCTGTTCTCAAGAAGAAACTTGTGTGCTTACATGGTGTTTGCTGTGGTTTTCAGTTTATTCTGAAATAGTCTCAGTTCTAGGGTTGGTGCTTCTCTCAGCATTGACCATCACATGAATCTTCTGGATGCTGCTATGAGTGACAAATGTGTTTATTACATTTCTGTAATGCATAGGTGAAAGTATTAGAATAACCTTCTTTCTGTTCCATTGAATGCAGTTTATACAGTATCCTAAAGGCCAAAATGCTTACATCTTTTCTCTCCAAAGCATAGCTTGCCATGTTATGTTGCCAAATAACAACTTGCGTCTGAAAGTTGCTAGGACTTTGAAGCAATGCAGATGGAGTTGTTGACTTTTACCACAGAGCTTTAGGAAATCAAAGACTACTTAGATACAGCACTGATAAATACTTGTGTCATAGATTGAAGGGTTTAAAGTTGAACAGAATTTGTAGTGGATTTGATGAAATTAAATTAATGTTTTTTCAGAACGCTTGTTTCATGGAGTAACAAATGAAAGCAATACATCAGAAATCCATCTTAAATCTTCCATTTACTGTGAACATTAAGAATATTAGGTATTGAGGACAATCATCATTGATGTTATTGGCTAGAAAATCCATGGGTTTTTTTTACTATTAACTCATCACAAAAGTCCTTACTAATTACAATGATAAACTTTTTTTTTTCCCTAGGTGGCTGTTTTTAATGCAGTAGTGTCATCAGCTGGCTGAAGACTAAACATGAGAATAGCAGGTAAGTACGGTCAGTAAAATCAGACTTTTGTCACTTGTGAAACAAGTGCTATAGACAGCATTAACAAGTTGTAACAGTAAGGTTGTAAAATAAACTTAACTGGTGTAGCAGGCTTTGCTGTTCCATTTAATCGGTGTTTAATGAAACTCATTTTGGAATTTGGGATGGTCTGAGAGCAAGCAGCTGGTTAAAACGCTTCCGCTGATCTGCAGTGACTGGTTAAGGTGCCATAACTGCACAGAAGGTGTCGAGGTTGTAAAAATAAGATCTTTGCCAATGTAACACTACAAGAAAATATTATTGTAGATGTTTCCTTGCAGCAGAATAGCCTGTGTGGCAGTTGAAGAGTTCTGAGTTTCTGGTGCATTGCGCTTTTATCAATAGTTGTAGTGTTATGTTGCAAAGAAGCAACTGTTGGCTCTTCTAGGAGAGAATGATACCTTCTTTTCCAAGAGAGTTGCACATTAAACTTCTTAATGCATGAAATCAGTCCTGATTTTTGTCACTATTTCTAAAGTTGCCTTATTAACCTCAATATATAGCTGGAAGCAACCTGCAAAAAAGTAAATCTGCTAAAGAACTGGAAAATGATGCAATTTTTAGAAGATGGCTATATCATCTGGAAAATTACTTTTCCAAACCTCCGTTTTTCTTCTATCAAACTACTTATGTTGCTAAAACCCACAGACAAAGAAGATAAGGCAGTTTCTGTGAAATGTTTAACCTGTTGCAAGCAGGCTGCTTTTGGTTCAAGTCTAAAGGAGTTTTCTAGGAGATTTCTTACCTTTCCCTCAGAGGGAGTGCTCACCGTTCAGTTGAAAGTCTCAGTATATAGAGTGGAGAGGATGGTTAGTGCTCAGACTGAGTTCTTGTTCATCTCACCTACTGTCTACTTGAAACAACATGCTCTCTCCCAGTGCCACTTGCTAGATGACACATTCCAAAATCTGGTACCATCTTGTCTTTTTAAGCAGTGTTGCTTTGAAAACCTTTTCTCCACTACTTAACATATGTTCAGATCGTCTGTTTTCTCCAGTGCTTACATGTGGTTCACTTCCCTTCAGTGCAATAATCTTTGGAGTTCCAGCATAATATTTTAAAATTAAGCTTGTATCTGTGTTTTCTTACCTAGTATGTATGTACTCACACACACGAAAAGGGAAAATAGGAGAGGAAGACCAAAGCATAAGCAAACAAAAAAGTTGTATCTCTTTCTTCTTCTTTCCTTTCTTTTTCTATCCCCCTGTCTTTTTTTAGCCTTTTGGAAGGATTGATTAACATCTCTTATCCTTCTGAAGGCTGAGTAATCTGACTATTTTAAGGTTTTCTGAACAGCCCGTCACAGCAGCACTCTGACGATCTGCAGGAGTACATAAGTTTGGTTTTTTTCTGAAGGATTTACTTGGCTGGCATTCTGAGAAACAGAAGCGTGCTGTAAGGTTGCTGCTTCTAACAGTTTGACATATTGGGGTGAAACAGAAGGGCAGGATGTTGATCAGGTGCCTCCTCACCTAACTTCTACTCTCAGTCGGTATTTTACAATAAGCTAGGAGTGGAGTATTCTGTAAAAATCTATTGAAAATTATGCTAAAAAATGGTGGGTTTCATAGCAGTACCACATACACTTGAGTTTCCATTTCAGATGTAAATAGATGTAGTTGTGTGCTTCCAGCTCTTTTCCTAGGATGTAGTTTGACCGCTCCGCACTGGAGAAAGTTTGGCTTGTAAAACTTAATATGCTGAAGCCTCAGGTAGCTTTAAAAATGGGAGGGGATGGACACTGCTTTTTATTACTTTTTAAATTAGCTCTTTTGAGTCTTCAAACTCTCTTTCTGAAGGTCAGTAACATAAATTTGTTGAAAAGGAGGTGAGAATGGTTTTGAGTTTGTTGGTGTTTTGGTTTGTTTTATTTTGTTTTGTTTTGTTTTTTGTTTTTTGTTTTTTTTTTTTATGTAATGCTCAGACCTGACTGACCAAAGAAACCAAGCTACAGTATTTGAAAAGATCTCTAATCACTGTTTTGGCCATACATTAAAACAGGTAGTTCAATTTGGGGGGTGGGGGGAAAAAGATGAGTATTTGTGAACGGTAAGGAAACAGATGCAGGTGGCTAACAATAGGGAAGTGGAACAGGGGGAGGTGGGAATTTCCCCTTTGGACAGCAGCCAATTAGGTCAGCCTAGTTCGTTTTGCTAAACTGGATTTAAATGAAAAAGTCTGTGGTTTCTCCCAGCTGCTGAGCTCAGTTGGTGTACTGTGCTGTCAGACAAGTAAGAAGCCGGAGAAAGCTGAGAGCGGCGTATGTATTTGGTATAGTAACCTGGGAGCCTGGCTCAGTTGCAGCTTATGTTATAATGTCCATTTCTTGCAGATTACTTCTGTTTAAGCGAGTCCACAAATGATCATCCTGTTTCTGAGTTCCCCTTAATGTAATCTGATGCAGGTTTCTCACGTCTTTAATTTTGGTAAACTTAATGTTATCATTTGCAGATAATTTTTTGAAACTTTTCTCTGCTTCTGAATAGGTGCTGCGAAGTTGGTAGTAGTCATAGCAATATTTTTATTGACATTTTATGTCATATCTCAAGTATTTGAAATAAAAATGGATGCAAACTTAGGACACATATTTGGTAAGTGATGACTGTGTTTTCTCTGGACATCTATTAATATTTACTTGAGGCATAATCAAGAATAGTGTATTCATTTTGCTTTAAGCTTGACTTAGGTTCTTACACTTAAGAATTCTGTGTTTATTTTTAATATGTGTACTCGTTATTTTTTGATACATATTATATGTCTATAATATATACTGTGTGTATTAAGTTATTTTCTGTATGAAATATTTAACCTACTCTCTTAATCAGTTTGATTTATTTATTTTTTTTTTTTTTTTTTGCCTGCCAAGTATGCATAACTTTGTGTTTTTTGTTTACTGGTATTTACAGTCCTAGTCTGGAGTTGTAAATTAGGTGACTTGAATGATGTTTTTGGAAATCTGCACTCTGCATTTCTGCTGCTTAAGCAATTCAAAATGTATGTTTTAGGTGCGCTTTTTTGCTTGCACAGGTACATTACCGTGTACAATTGAATGTGCAGTAATCAAAACATTTCAGATGTGTCCAGGTTCTGCACAGAAAAGGATTAGCAGCTGAGATGACTTAAAATTCAGTCTGTTTTGAACCAACTTTTCTTTAAAGGGGATTTTCATTACAAAACCCCCCAATTTTAGGTACGTGGGTAGGGTTCATGTTATTTAACTCCATATTGCTACAGTGTGAGCTGACATCTGAACCAGTCACCAGAGGCATCTTTAATAATTGTTGAAGAGACGCGGGTGTTAAGTATTACAGATGTATTGTAGATATATGCAAGATGAGGTCACCTGTGTGTCTGCCTGTCACAAGAAAGGGAGTTATGAATGGTTGGGTTCAAATAGACCTGAGTTGCAGGTTTCCAGTGTTAGTTGGAAGGAGCCCCATCCTGGTGAAGCTGTAGGTAGGGAATTCATTTGACTTTAGTGCCTGCACCTCCACAAATCACTGGTGGTTTTGTCTGTCTGTGGTCCTTTGTGTTAACTGGAGAGTTACAAATTAAGGCAGTGCTTCTAAATGCAGTTCTTGGTCACTTTAATTCTTCTTCCGTGTAAAGGTTAATGCTTTTATTGGAACATAATGTTCAGATGTATTTGATACTTCATTTTAACCAAATTGTTTATATAGGGGTACAGAAAGGTTTTAAATTTATAGGATACCTTATAGCAGATGACACTGTAGTAGTAGCATCTTGTAAGACTTTCTTTTTGCATTTTAGCTAGATCAGCACTGGATGCAGCTGCACGCTGTGAGTATTCATATGCATGTGTTACTGCTGTGACTTGCTTTTGCTAATAACAGACTGTTGAATTTCCATAGTTAAGAAAGCTTTAATTACACTTTAAATGCAATCAGAAACTAATTTTCCCCTTTTCCCGATTTTCCTAAATTTCTGGTAAAGTCTGTTTTTGCCAGCATTTTACTTGTAGTTTTGTCTCATGGCTTTTGATGAGAGTGCTAGAGGAAGCAGCAGGGTAAGAACAAGAAGTAGTATAATGTGGTGCTGCAGGAACTTAGAGTATTTTAAGCTGCTATGAAACTGCAGATGAGATACTGTTTGTTTTTACTTTTTTCTTTGAATTCCTTCAGAAAAGTAACTGATATTTCTCTATTAGCCTACCTGTGGTGGTCTCTTAAATCCTGTTTTATTTCCTTTTGAAAGCTACAAAACCTCCAAGATACAAATGTGGGATCTCTAAAGCTTGTCCTGAAAAGCATTTTGCATTCAAAATGGCAAGTGGAGCAGCAAACGTAGTTGGACCTAAAATCTGTGTAGAAGATAATGTGTAAGTATTTTTACCTGTTGTCTCTAAGTATCTCTTTCAAATGTTGTCTTGGATCACTGCACACAAAATCAGTAGTTTAAATTATTCTTTGTAGGTTGTGTTTTGCCAATGGTTTGACCACATGAAAAAATTATATTGCATTATAACTTAATCGCTGATGAAGCACAGTTAATACTCTGCAGTAAATGCAGAAATGCACTCTATTTTAATACATGCAAGATATCTTACACTTTATTTCAGGTTTACAGACTTAAAGATTAGTTAGACTTTGTCAAGTTGGAGGCAAGTTTGCCTCCAAGTAACTTGTTCTAATAGTGATTCAGTGAACGACTGTATTTTAAATAACTCTTGATACCTATAACTGAATGTCATTAGCTAAAACTGTGCTGTGAAATTGTCTTTTTCAAGTCATCTTTTAAACTATTTTCATAGTACCGATTCTAGAACATATTTTTCACTTCTTTAAAGGACAAGTTCAAAAGGGAAAAGTAGTGTTTAAATGATCAGTAGTTATTTAATTGTGCTGATAGTAACTAAAGTAAATAAATTTAAAATTGTGAAACGGGGAAAGGAAGCGTTTGAAACACAGTTTGGGTTTAAGTCCTGTATTTCTAATAACAGTATTTTTAACACAATATTATCAGTAATGCTGTGCATTGAGTATTTAACTGAATACCTTTTAGTAATCCCCATAATGGGAATATTAATATTTGTATTTAGAATCTTTGTTTCTTTGCTTTTAGCTTGTTCCTGCTCATTGCCACCCAGTGTGCAGCTTTGTATAACGTAATCTATCCACTCAATTTTGCATGTCATATGTTAGAAAGGACATGATGATAGTGTTGTCAGATTTTTTTAAGTATCAGTCACACTTAGAAGCTTTTGCCTTCTATTTGCATTTAAACTACTCCAGTTTAGCTGTTTCTCAGCCAAGGCTATGTTAATACAAAGTGGTTCAGATAGCACATACAGCAGTTAGTGCTAATGAATTCTAGAGCAAATGACAACTTCACTGTGAACAATGTAACCCCATGTAATATAGTAAATAGGATGATTAAGCTGTAAGAGAATAAAAAGTATTGGTTTACATTTTCTATCACTTCCACTCTCAACAGTATTTCTAAGATTAGTTTTACTATCTTAGAGAAGGCTCTATTTTTAGCACTACCAGCAATTAAGATATAGCGAAGTTGAAATGGGGGCATTTTTCCCTGGCAACTAAACACGTGCAGCTTTTTCGCTTTGTGTTATTAGTAGAAACACAAAGCACCATTCAAATTTCAAGCCGTTCCTCTGTGCGGCTGACTTAGCACAGAATTGCTCGCTTGTGTAGGAGTGCGTTTGCAGCGGAGCACCATGGAGTAGTTGGGGAGCACATGCAAAGTGAGCATGAGCTCACCGTTTGCACGTTCTAACCAAAAGCTGCTGGGTTCTGCTTTCCATTATTATCATTGATTCACTTCGTGACTTTGTACAGTCTTATCTAATCTCTGCATGGTATTTTTGTTGGTGTTGCAAAACTTTCGACCTTCTTACTTTGGTTGCTAGGAAGCTGTGGCAGTGCAAGTAATGTTTTAACTTCAGGATTGTAGGGCTTGTTTGTTGTTGTTTGGTTTTATTTTTTTAAAATGTCTCATTGGTTAACTAAGAAGAGATTGTTGTTCGTGTCCAAAAAAAAAAAACCCAACATCCTCTACTGGATATTTCACTGAAGAAAATAATAAAAAGAAGGTGGTTGCAGGCAAGAAATCCTGAATTCTTTTAATACTAAAGTGTACCTTAGTGCACAGCTGTTGGAGTTGTAAAGTCCAATTTCCTTTTGCAAAAATCTTTCTAATGTCCTCCTGAGGAGGACTTGTCTATTTAAATATCTGTCAGAAAATTTGATTAATTTTATATTATCTCCTGCTTTGGTCATAAGATGTTTGATTTCTCTTCAAAAGTTCCCATAACTTGTTGATTGTAAGTTGTTGAAAGAATTCTAAAACTGGCGAATGGCTGCCCTCCTGTGAGAAAACTGTCACATTACAGCCTGTAGTGTTTGTGACAGTGCACAAGCTATCTCAGGTGCGTAAAGTATTATCTCAGAGATCTGAAAGAACTTGCTTCCTTTTCAGTAGCTCTTTTTTTAGTGATATTTCATGAACTCCTGAGCAATGTGTTTTTCTGATTAATTTGTATTCTTCATACTTCCAAGACAAGGAACCAGGGACAAGTTTTCATAATTTGTCAATGGTTTTTCCACCGTAGGTGTTTTGCTGTGTATGAAACATAAAGATGTCGGTTTATGAGAGTACTAAAGGTGGTTATATAATTCAGAATGCATTTAATTTCTCAGTTTTTCTCTTTAATAATATAGGTTTTTGGTGTGAAGTAGGAATTCTGCTATATAGAAGTTCAGTTAGAGCCTTGTTCTCCTATATTGGAAGAACGTAATACAAATTAGAAAAAAATGTACTGTAGTCATCATCAAAATATTAAATATTGTAGTTGCTACTTCAAGGGCTTTTTAGAAGAAGGGGTGATATTGCTGTCCTGCTTTACCAGCAACTTCTCCATGTGGTTTTACTTCTATTAAGAAGCCAGTTGCACAATTGTGCCACAGTAACCTTATAGCAGAACATCGCACTGCATTCCTTCAATAACTAGTAATTCTTGTATTTGTATTTGCAGAATTTGCTTGTTGTCTGAAATCCATTACAACTTTTGTTATGTATGTGTGGATTTTCAGCATCTAGTCATCCCAGTGTTGGATATTTTTTGACTGCTGTTTATTTATAGAGAATCTTGTAGTTAAAATAAAAGGAAGGTATTAAGCTTTTTGGTAAAGCAAATGTCCACTAAATTTTACATAAGTAAAGGAATGTGTTCAGAACTTCACTGGCTATTTATTTTTCATTTATGTTTTCAGTCTTTATTTGCCATATGTTTTTATTGTTTAGAATGGATGCTCAGACATGACATGAAAATCATGTGATTGTAGAAGAAATGATCCTCCAGTAGTTAAAATACTTCTGGAGTTCCCTACTAGCCAGAACTGAATTCTTAATTTCAGCAGAAGACTTTAAGTCTTCTGTTTCAGAAGTTATTTAATTAGAGTTTTAATTTTAATCAGAATTTTTATCAGATGGTATCATTTAGAGAACTAATAGAAGAATATGGATTCTTTCATCTCTGATTATTAGTTCTTTAAAACCTAAGTCACTGTGCCAAGAGTTACAGTTAACCAGTAGTCTTTCACAGCCTCTCTGAACTGAGTCTGTTCCTGATTGTTGTGTATTAAATTTGACATTCCTCTAAATTTTGTCTTATGCCTTCATCCTGAGTGCAAAAGACGGCATCAGAGAGGAAGATTTTTGTCGTACTTATTTGACTGACCATTTCTTGTTTCTAGCCTTTCACTAGTAAATTGGCATAAGAGAGCTGATGTTGCAGTTGTGTGTGTAAGGACAGGGTCCTTCCGAAACATTGCTTAGCATGAATGTTCAGACATGACCTGAAAATCATATGATCGGCAGAAGAAATGTGGAAAAATGTTTTGAATGTAATAGGATTGTACACATCTGCAGCCCCTTCCTAGAGCAAGCTAGGGAGGTTAAAGAAGTCCTGATAAGGATGGAATTAAAACATCTGGTTTTGCTATTAATGAGATATGTGCGCCTGTGTGCTTCCACTGAGGTGCTTTCTTGAATCACAGATGAAGGCTTCTTCATTATCTTAATTTATGTACTAGTTTTACTCCTGTTTCTCCTTGTGTATGTTAATTCTTCTACTCCTAGCTTCAAAATACTAATGCTGGGATATTTGGGACCTGGAGACAGAAGGGAGATCTTTATTCAGTGTCAGTGAAAAGGGATGAGGAGGTCTGGAAGCTTCCTCTCACTGGAGCGGTGCATCCACCATGGCTCAAGGCAACACAGCATCTTGGCTAATAGTCTTGACGTTGCCATTAGCTCTTCTTTACAGCTCTGAAGGGCTTTTGTATCACATGCAGCTTTTCTTTTCCAGCTCCTTTGCTGCTCTGAGTTTGATCAAGTAATTGCTGTCATAGATTGCGATGGTTTTGTTGGCATGTGTAACTGTACTCCTAAGATTATATTCAACTTTTACTTAAAGTTCCATCAGTGTGCTAACTGTTTTTCCTGATTTTAGGTTTCCTAATACAGGTACGGGTAACTAACGGCTCTGGCTTTCTTGTTTCTTAGTGTGATGCTGCAATATTGATTTTAAATGCTTCTGTTTAGTTAGCTTTTAAACTTAACATGTTTTTGTTCATTATGTGCTTACAGAAAAGCCTACAATATTGGTTACATGACTGTGCTAAGCTCTTCAAATTATTGTTTCAGGTTCTTTAACTGCAAGGAATTTTCTTAAATATGTTAATAGCACTTTATTTTTTGTGACCCTTTTAATACACACGCATACTCTGAAACCAAGATAATTAAGCGATCCAATGAAATGGATACAACTGGGGATATTTGGTCTATTGTTCTCAACTCAGCGGTGCCGTAAGAGCACACAGATAGTTCAAGGAGATTTTGCTTCATTTAAGTACTCGTGAACATGTGGTCTTTCAACTATGTATCTGTTACAATTTGATTGATCCTATTTAAAAATCAGAACTATTTCACATCAGAAGATTGTCCTATTAAAAACAAAATTGTTTATTTTATTTCAGTTTAATGAGTGGAGTTAAAAATAATGTTGGCAGAGGAATAAATGTGGCCTTGGTCAATGGTAAGTGACACTTTAAGTGAGCAGATTGTCTTAATTTTCAAGTTATTTCTGAAATCTAAGGTGAAATACTACAGGATGGTGAAAGGCAAGTGGGAAGAGAAAAGGAAGTATTCAGCATAGTTATACTGAGATAATGTCAGATCTTGGCACTTAGACCTTTTTGTTAGAAAGTAGAAAAACTCAGTGCATTTTTGTTTCTAAAAATGTGCAGTAAAAATAGTAATGTGGAGTGCTGTGGTGACTGTCGGTGATACATCAGATAAATTCTTAATGCACATATAAAATGGAAAAAGACATGAGATGCATGCTACTTCTTTTGACTTTGTGTGTTGCCACCACTAATAAACCTTTGTAGACTCAATTCTTCTGTTGCTCTCTCTTCGATGAAACTTACCGAACCATTCTGTTACTACATGGAAAGACCAGCTCATTATTTCCTAGCTTGAAATCAGTATATTTGATTAGTCTGTATGTATAGATTTTTCTCCTTAAATACATCATGTTATGTAATTGTGTTCAGGATTCCTAACTTTCATTAAAACCAAACAAATTTACCTGTGTGTCTGGATTTAACATCACTACTGGCAGATTTGTCCTTAATGTGTAGGAAGCAATTCCTTGTAACTCTGGGATAGCGCTTTGTCATTTCACTGCAGTATAAATTCATGTTATTTTTGGATCGCGCTCAGGTTTACGTCATCTAAAGCATGATTTGAACAGTACTTGCCTAATCCTATTTGGCCCTCCTAAATAGTCTCAAATATGTTCAAACCCATAATACCTACCTTTGTATTGTATAGCTGCCAGTCTTTCTCCCTGTCTTGCAAACTTTAAATGAATGTATGTATTAAAAAGAAAACTCTACCTTCCATCAAATACTGCCTTAAGACAGCATAGTGGAAAAAAAAAAAAAAAACCAAACCCACAACCTAACGAGATCACTGTATTGTCCACTTCCTTCTATTTGTTCTAGATGTTTAAATCGACTAAAATTTTCCACTCTGTAGCAAAACACGCAGTGTAATTTTTGTATTTTTTACATTCCATGTTGCACTAATGGTAACCTGTAGCTGTACTACCTATTTTTTGAAAGACAACTTAAAAAAAAAAAAAAAAAAAAGGCAAATATACGAAGTGAATTCTCTTAATTGGTTTTAGAGGCAGTGGGCTTTTTGTGTTATTTTATATGCCACTTGAAGCAAAATCAGAAGTTTGCATCTTCTATTTTTTTCGTTTTACCTTTTCCTGCACCTTTCACAAGCTACTATGCTGTTTAAGGAGCAATCTTCATAAAAGGCAAGAGTTACCATAGTAATTGATTTACGTGGTGTCTTCTGCAGCACTTTCTCTGAAAGAGTCATTAAGAGGAGTTGGGCATATTGTCTGTAAAGTAATTTTGGTTGTATTTGTTGATACCAAATATTTCTTTTTCTCCAGGTAAAACAGGAGAACCAGTAGACACTAAATTCTTTGACATGTGGGGAGGAGGTAGGTGCAGTTACGTTAGCTGGTTAGAGAGAAACAACTTAAATGCCTCTTCCTCTCCCCCTTCACTTTCTACAAGCTCCATTTGCTGTGGTGGTTTAAGGTGATAGTGAAGGGAGTGCTTCAGCTCTACCTTTGTAATTGTGCAGAGGGTGCAACTTTAAAGAAACACAAATAGTTGGGGTGGGAGGGAATGGTGTGGTTAATCAAACACACTTGTTCTCCTAAGTAGTTCCCACTAGTGGTTGTCTTTACACAATATGGATGAAACTCTGTAAAATGAGTTCTCTGATGCATTTTATCTTTCTCCCACCTAGTGTCTTTTTTATAAATTTAGAAGTACATTTACGAATACTCTTAAAAGGAATGTCTTTGCAGGAGGGCATTGCAGGTGTTTAAATATGGAATGGTTGCTTGTTATTAGAGAGTTTTGTGTTCTCTCTTTTCAGATGTGGCACCATTTATTGAATTTCTGAAGTCCATCCAGGATGGAACGATAGTGTTAATGGGAACATATGATGATGGTGCAACCAAGTATGTCATTGATTTATATTGTAAATATAGCTTAAACTTTTAAATGCTGTTTTATACTGAAAAAAAAAAATGCCTTCTTTATTAAAAAAAAAAAAAATCAGTTTTGACAATTTTTTTCTTCCAAGATGACAGATTTGAAACTACACTGTCAGTTTTATAATGCTCATGTGATCTGGGGACAACAAGGATCAAATTAAAACTGACCAGATGTAATAGGTCATCTGTGTATTTACATAGAGGACTGTTAGGTGTATACTTTTGTGATCCTAACAACAGGAACAATATATTAGATATTAGACTCTTTAGCAGAAATATCACAAGTGTTTCAAAATCTGAAAAATCTTGAGACTAGTAGCCGACTAATTGCCAATTGCTATATCAATACACATATTTGGGTTTTTTGATGTTCTGAGAAAAGATGTTATGCAGCAAGAAGACAATGTAGGGCATATGGTCAGTCCCACAAACTGCTTACTCATAGCTATGAAGAATATATTTGCATGTTATATTTGCAGTGTACTATTTTAAAACCATACCCTTATCCTCCCTGGTTCCTGAAGACCATGTAGGTTCCTAGCTGCTCCCAAGAATTCTTCCGCACCTCTTTTATTGAATGTATGCTGCTGCCAAGGATATCTGTCTTTTTGGAGATGTGCTGGTTTTCCTATTGTTGATAGCTCATTCTGTCTTACACTAGTAAATTCAGTTATATCCGGACACAAGAGTGTGACTGTGAGAACATACCCAGGTGGAAATTGGTCTGTTCTGTCCAGCACATTTCTGAGTTCAACTCCAAGACAGAGTTTGGTGGTTACAGGGGTGCAGAGGCCGTTCCCAATAGGCCTTGCCTCTGTCCTTCCTTTTGAAGTCTGAGAGGTTACTAGTGTGCACCTCGTACTTTTTGGCCTCCGTGTTTGGACTGTTCCACCGTAAAGCTGTTCAATTTATTAATGTAAACATAGCCTAAGAGGTTTTAGTTTTCTTTAAGCATTATCTTCCAACTTTCCCAACTTTGGTCAGCTTTAATAGATACTAAAAATTACTGTAGAATTTCTGTTGTAATCTACTCCTCACTTAAGTCATCCTGTCCAAAGGATTGCTTTTCGTAGTGAAAATTAAGAGGAGGTTTTTTTTTTTTCTTCCTTTTCCTCCATTGTTTTAATAATATTACATTTTTTGCTAATGTGTTCTGTACATTTTTCTTCTTTTTTGGTTCAAACTGTTATCCACAACTTGTCTGTATTCTTGATAGAAGAGCATGTTTCCTGTGACAAAGTCCTGACTTTGCAGTGCACAATATTTGCAGTAAATAGTTAAGTGTCTGTACATTCACTGCTCTTAGGAGAAGAAAACAATTTAATGTTTCTTTATAACAAGGCTGGATTGCTGTCTGTTGTTCTGTTCACCTGTTAGATTATTTTTCCTTTTGGTCTTTTTCCTCCCTTTTATATTTTAGATAATAAGTACAGTTACTTTGTTTCAGTAATCATGTCAAGCTGATGTTCTTGAAAGCTTGTATGTTACAATATCAGCTAAACAAGAAGGTGAATTTGGCCCATTCATGTTGATAGCCAGAAACTACTGCCTATTACTGATATTAGTTAGCTAAAACCTTACCGCTAGTGGCTGATGGTAATCATAAATGCCAGTTCTTGAAAACGATTAAAATTGTAAAGAACCTACATGTTAAAAGATAAAACATTTTGTTTTGTTTTAATATAAGCTGCCCCAATGCTCTAGCAACTTGGAGTGTGGGTTGTACAAATAACCTTCAAAGTATTTAATCATTTTGTAATTTTAGCTAAAGTGAGTCATAGAGCTCTATCTCAGTAAGTGGTAATAATCAGAAGTTGTGTGTGTTGTTCAGTAATTGGGCAAATACAGTAACCAAAAGGAAGAAATAAAGAGCTGCTATTTTGAGATTTTTGAATGCTAACTTACCATGCTGCAGAATTGTGTTCCCTTCCAGAGTAAAAGTATCCTACCTAGACCTACAGGCACTGAACTGTGCTATGGGGCAGCATTCTGAATTTTGAATTAATAGACCCAAGCAGACAAGAACTTCTTTCGTATATTTAAGTCGTTCTTCTAATCTAAAATAGCTTTTCCTTTATCTAGACCTGAGCTTGAGCCTGCAAACAATGTTTACTTTAAAGGATGACTTTTTTAGTTGCTTGGAGAATTACTAGCATGACTTGAGATGTATGTATAAATTCTCACAGGAGAGGGTTCTTGGCTTTTGTTGGTGTACTGATAGGTTTGTATGCTGGTTCCTTGAGGTTAATATTAAAGAGCAGTGATCGTTAGATCAGGTGATTTCAGAACTAGCCTTATCTGATTTTGAAAGATAGATCTTGCCCAATATTGACTGACTTAAACTATATTTAATCAGATTAAAGCTGAATGGTCCATTGAACAATGAAAGCTCTAAGGGTATGTATTTTATTCACATATTGAACTTCTGTTTTGTTCAAGGCTTAATGAGGAAGCACGGAAACTGATTGCTGAATTAGGAAGCACATCTATTACTAACCTTGGCTTTAGAGACAACTGGGTCTTCTGTGGTGGAAAAGGAATTAAGACTAAAAGTCCGTTTGAACAGGTCTGTGGTTCTGTAACTTACTAGAATTTAACAGCTTACATTAGTAAAGTCGTAGCATGTTTTATAAATACCATGCGCTTGCTCAATATACAATGGGTGTGTATTACAGTAGTGGCACACAGTGATATTTTCAAATTTATTCCTTGACTAGCCTTCTCTTTTTAAATGTATAAAAAAGATTCTTTGGCGATACACAACTAAGAAAAAAATCTTATGTGGCATGTGTCTTAGTATCCCAGTAACTAGATCATTTATCTTTTTAAGGAATACAATTAAACTGAAGAATTAAAAATTTGCTGCCTAACGCTTATATTTTAGATGCACTAACAGTGGTAGACCTCCAGCAGATAAGTGGTAGTTAAGGTGTTAGTACTTCCAGCTGTTCACTTTGCTCTTCTGTCAAAAATTATTGCTGCTATAGCAAAATCTGTGAAATAGATAGCTGTTACAGTTCAACTTGTGTCAGTTTGCCTTTAATTACCAGTAAAGATCACTTTTCACTAGGAGAGTAAGGCAGGCGTGTTCTATTTTCCCAGTATTGTGAGGGAGTGGGAACTGGTGTAGGAGCAATGGTAAACTCTTGGATGCAGTAATGTCTTACCTGACTGCAGGTGGCTGCTTGGTGGAAAAATAAACTCCTAATTTTCAAAAAAGGCAACCATCCAACATTAAATAATGTTCTTTAAAATCTGACTATTCATTTTCAGTGCTTTGTAAATGTAGCACCCTTATTTATTTTTTCCTAGTGGTTCACATTTTAATGCAGTTGGCCTTTTCCTTGCTTGCCTCCCTTCCTAAATAAACATCTATAATAAATTTAAAAAAAATATTTTCCCAGTATGGCTTAACTGTTTTTAGCATACACTTGTCTGAGCAAGTTGCATTGTGTTGAATACTGTGAGATTGTTCTATTTGATACAAAGCACAAGAGGCTAATAGTGATTTTTTTTCTCTTTGTCCATGGCCTGAAAATAAGTAAATATGTGAGTTAAAAACTATTATTGTTATTATTGTTTTTATTAGTGTTGTTATTGTTATTATTTAATAAATAACTAAAAATGAGAATTAAAGAAAAAGGATAAATGACTTCACATTAATGGTAGATTGATGTTTTCTATTTATAGCATATAAAGAACAACAAGGACACAAACAAGTATGAAGGCTGGCCAGAAGTTGTTGAGATGGAAGGCTGTATCCCTCAGAAACAAGACTAAATGAAAACAAAAGGAAAGGATAAAGAATATGGAAGAAAATGCACTTTCTGCTATTATTAGGGAGAGGGCTATGAAGGAGTCTGTACCATAAATAATATTTTTAAAGCATGCAACCATCTTGTCGGTGTGTGCATGAGCACTGACATTTTGAATATTGGGATTATTTATTGCTAACACACATAGAAATCCTTTTTGTAAATATGTCCAAAACAAAATAAACATCAAATCATTTCTATGCAGATTTCTTAAAAGCACAGTAATTAGTTTGCCTGTGGTAAATAATATCTTGTAGATCAACTGGCTAATAAATGGCATATGCGGATAATAAACAGATTCTGACAAATGTTGTACTGTCCTCTTAACGGTGTAATGTTGCTGTGAGTATGTAACCTTTGTGGAATACTGTAGATTTTAGTAATAAGTTAATAAAGAGCTTTAATTTTTTTTATCCTCTGCCTTTTTAATGGCAGCATCACTTTTTATTAAAGCTATTTGGTTATTCTAATACCGGGTGCTCCAGAAATTTATTTTGTAGTCCCTCATCAAAACTGAATAATCAGCAAAGGAAGAATACGTGGTAGTGTAACACAGATATGTCATGAGAAGCACAATAGAAATTATTTTTATGAGGGGAAGAACAAAAGTAAATATATAGTGTATGTGATATTTAAAAGCAGCTTGGAAGGATTTGTACTGACTTGAAAATAATGTTTACTTTGTAGAAGAGACTTGGCATGTTAAGCAGCAGTACGGTGGCTAACTTGTTCAGCTTTTATTGCAATTATCGTACTGCTGCTTAACCATCAATTCTACCTGTGGCTGTACAGCTTTAGTCTCCAGTCACGTAGTAAATATGCATAACGGAATAGCTTTCTCTTTGTTCTAATGTCAGGAATAAGTTTCCCATCACAAAGAGCCAGTTAGAAAGCAGTCCGACTTCTGGTGAGAGTTGTTTCAGGGTACACAATTGTGCAGCTTTACCACCTATGTTACATCTAATGTGAACTGAGGCAATTTGTTCTTACAGCGAGATGTTAGAGCATTGTATCTGGGGTTATGCAGTGTGTGACTTTTAAACTTAGCTGACGATGTTTCCTTCATCTCTTTTTTTTTTTTTTTTTTTTTTGTAAATGGAAAAAAATGGACCAACTTTAAGTGGCCTTATTCTTTAGCTTGTATCAGAGCTGTGAGAAAATGTTGCTTTCTTTGGAAACCTCTGTTTCTTTTAAGTAGGCCCAGCTTGATCTTTTGGTAAAACTAGGTTAGTACAGTATAACTGATAGTATTAGGGGCTGACACAGAATTGAGTATAATCTCTTGGAGTTTTATGTCATGAGTTCTGTTATAATCTTAAAAAATTTCTCGCTAGTACAGTGGGGCAAAAGCCACAGAGGATTTTTCAGGAACCCATAGTGTGAGTTGAACACAGTGGCACTAAAAATACTATTATTGTTGATGTCTTCTGAGACAAATTTAATTCTGTGCACTAAAAATTTCAAGCAATATTGGGAATTGCCTTGTAAGTCAAATAACCTGTGATACCAGAGTAAGGCTGGATTCTGAGTTCTGTATGTTTAACAAGCTTGTTAAATAATGTGGTTTTCCCTCAAGTTTAATGTAGAACAGCAATAAATGCACCTTATACAGTGAAACTGCCTTTGTTATATCTTTCAGATTTTCTTGTGTAGGAGGACATGTCAAAATCATGTATATTTTTTAATCAAACTTCCCTGTTTCTAGCAATTGGAAAAGAACTTCTATTTTATAACATTGGGTTATTGTGGAAAACTAATTATGTATGTCCTGGAATTTTCACAGAAATAAAGTTTTGTTGGTGTATATGCCAGTATTGGTTATACTGCCATCCTGAATAATATAAAAATAACTTGGCAGTTACTTGGCAGGGGCTTAAGAGAAAAAACCATTTGTCTGCATTAATAGTTTCCCTGGACTACTCTTTATTATGGGTTTGAATGCCAATGAATATTTCATCTTTCAGCAAATTAAAAAGTTCATATTTCGTCTACAAAGTTAAATGTTAAGGGCAGACCTCTTTTAGCCCTTGTATCTTTTAAATTTGTCCCCTTTTTTTCCTAGCAGTCTAAATTAAGGGGTTAAAAGTCATAATGTATTTAAAGTTGAACCTGTCACAAAGCTTTTAAACAACAGATTTTAAAGCAATAAAATGTTAGGATTATTTTTGTAACTTCTCAAATAGTTTGGTTCTTGTGATTTTGATGGAAATCTTCCTCTTATTCTCTAACCCCCGTCCTCACAGCTGTAATGTATCATATTAAATAAAGACTCTTAAAATATATAAAACTCATATTGGAGTAGCCATGCAAGTGGGGTCTCCTTGCTTTTGTTCATCATCATCATAGTCTGTTGACTTGCCCCAAGATCTAGTCATGCCGTTTCTCACTTCTGCCTTGAGTGGGCCAGTTACAGCATCCCCCTGTTGAGGTAAATTTTCTGATGCCTACTCTTAAGAAGTGAGACTTTGATTGTCTGTTTTGCATTTGAGTTACCAAGCACAGAGGTTACTTTTCTAGCCTTCCTGGTCTCAGTCAGCTGGTGCTAGGAAGTAGTTGCAATGATGAAGGCATTTTCTACAGGTGGCTTCCCACAGGAGTACCCGTGTGTGCCAAAGCTCCCGGCTGCATGTTTTCCTACACAACGTGCTGGGAACATTTGCAGTGTCTTGCAGACTTGTTGAGAAGAGAGTTGTGAGGGAAGGAAAGAGAAAGATGGCGGGGGATGTCTACCTTAAAAAGTACAGCTGTGAGAAGAGTGGGGGGGAGGACACAAGAAGGTTGTAGCTTCATTTTCAGCAAGGAGCACCCAGGTGGGATTCAAGCCACCTAAAGACAGCTTCATTGTGAACCACAGCTCTCAACTGCTGTACTAGTGTTGCTTTATATGGATACCAGGAGTCAAGAAAGAAGCTGAAGGGGGTCTCTGCCTTGACGTGCCCTCTGTGTCTTTCCTGGAGTCTTTCATGATCAAACTTTTTTTTTTTTTTCCTTTCCCTCTGGAAACAAAAGAGCTTTTTACAGCTTTAGTTTTCCAAGTGATAATTTGGAAAAAGCTTCCCTTTGCTCAGCGTGTTTTGCTTTCTGGATGTCTAGTTCCTTCAAACATTGATGTGACTACTAAACTGTTGATGTATGTGTAATGTCTCTTAAACTGTTTGGACTTTCTGCAATCTGAGTGATTTTCAAGAATGAGTGTATTTAATAAAATGGAGTCCAGGTGGGTAACTTCATGAGGGTAAATAAAGTAATAATACTACTGCCTTAAGTGTTGACTGATTTACCTGTGTAAGGGTGGGAAGGGCTGTAGTCCTCCCCTAAACTGACTTGGGTCATGGCTAAAGTGGATACCAAGCAAGGGACTTCTTACTGATGAAATCCTCTACAGTTTTATGTCTGTAAAGCCAAGTTAAGGGTGTAACCCAGCCTTAGTACAAGGGGCCTGGCTAAGAAAATTGAAAAAGAAACCTGGGAGACTGGGTGGGAGCTTTGAAGCCAAAGCAGAAAGATGTAAGAACAGCCCTTGGCCTGTTTGGTGATACCACAAGGTGTCAGTGGCTCCTGATGCTGCATTAGAACTACGAGGGCCCTGCTTCTTGCCCTCCGAGCAATGTGCCAAAAGGGCAGAAACACATGAGCTCAGTCACCTCCTGCTGCTGCCTCCCTGGAGGTGAAAAACTGAAGAATGGCAAGAGAAGGTGCTCTACTTGAGATGTTTCATTACATATCTGATCATCTTGATGTTAGTTTAAGTCCACTTTTAGTTCTTTCTGCTACTGTAGTCAGCCCTTTCAGCCTTACAACCAACATCCAATGCGTAATTCACAGACTCAGGTTTAACAGGTTCCTCCAATGTCTCTTCCTGTGCTTAATTATCTATCTGGATAGGTTGTCTCATGTACCATCCAAATCTTCTTTGCTTAAAATTAATGATTACTTCTTTGCAAGTTAAAAATTGATGACCCTCCTCTTGATGCCTTTTACGTTCTTCCTGGCCCTATCTTTTCCTTTCTAGAACATGCATTCCTATTCCTTTAATCTTGCATTTATCCTTTTTTAATCTGTATAATCTGTAAATCTGTAATCACCCATTCACTCAAAAAAGGTCTGTTCCTTTCTTAGGGTATTGTCCGTAGCAGGATATAGCTACAACATCACTGACATGAAAAGAGGCACTCCCAGCTGAGGAGGAATCGTGTCTCCTCTTTGAGCTTGATGGATGGTGGTGGAAGGGAGTGCTATCTTCTGTGGAACATAGTCTGCAAATGTTTTTCCCTACCAAATGCTGCAGCAGTCCTCTCTGACTAATTATCTTCCTTGGCCTCGAATATTTCATCATTGTCTTTATCAGTACAGACTCATGTTCCCAGATTTTGGCAGTTGAATCATCCTTCCCATTGGAAAACTTGGTGGATGACGTCTCAATTTATGGCTTTTATATCTTAGCCCTCACAGGTGCATTAAAAGCACTATAACTGCACCTTGTGTATGGCGAGGTAGGGATCAGTATAGACCACTGTAATAGTCCAGCTATGTTGTCTACTGTGTAAAGCACACAGAAATTGCTCCATCCTCCACGTGAAATTTCTGATACCTGAAAGCAGCCCAAAACAGCTGGCTAATTCTTTTCCTCGTGCTAATCTTGCACTACAATGCAAGAGGTTTAGAGTAATTTCTTAGCGTTGCAATTATGGAAGAATCAGCAAATGGAAACAAAACAAAACAAAACACTGAGCCCAACTAACATTTCAATGTAATTTAAGTGGTCAAAATTTTATTATTCCAAATATGGTCTCAGAAGAGAGTATGATACTGCCTGTCTTGCCTTAGTGTTGTTTAGTCCTGAGTGATCAAAAGCAAGGAGGGCTTTTTAAAGAGGTTACGCCATAAAACCACTGATGAATGGAAAAGTGTGCCTGCCCTGAAGCATCAACCCTTCTTACTGTACATGGCTTGCTTGTTTTCCTGAGAGGGCTCCTATGTTAGCACATTGTGAGGGACCATAAAACTTCTACAGGAGGTGGTTGTAGCATTGAATAAACCCAGAAGTTTGGTTCTGCCTAAATCTCTTGCATAGAAATCACTAAAATGGGTTTATATCGTCAGCAGCTTTGTTTGCAGAACTTCTGCCAAATATTCTCCATTCGTGCTGTGCAGGTTTTGGCTTTGCTGGGTTTGTTCTATGTTAAAACCCCAGAGTTTTCAAGGCACACAAAGTGCAAAACCATAGTTGGACAATATTCTGCTGTTGGCAGCACAGTCAGCTCAAGGAGTGGTTATTCCTGGTCACCTCCCTGACTTCTTACTACCATGTCCTTGCTGCAGTTTGCTGCTTCAAACTGAGACAAATCTATTGTCTGGAGTGTTTTTGTGAACCATATCATTAAACTGATCAAGGGGCTGGGGTCAGGGCAGGGGGTAGGGAGCCTGAGCACCCGCTCAGCCAAGCTGGCAGGCACAGCCAGCCTGACATGAGACTGCAGCCTAAACCTCCCACATCAGCAAGTATAAAACTTAACAACTTAGTTCTCTAAGTTTCAGGCAGCTTCTGGTTTGGCTGCTTTTGGCATAATCAGCAGCGACTAGCCAGAATTGTTTTTTAAAAACCCAAAGAGCACATCATAAACTGGCATTGAATAGTATCTTGCTGTTGTGTTCCTCTGCACGTTGATTCTCTTAATGATATATAGGTCCTCTAAAAACTCAGTATGTTTAATGTCAAAATATTATTTAGCACATACTGAGACACAATAGTGTCAAATTAATTTCTTAGATTATGGGGCAGATTGGTCCATGAAAAAGAATGGCACATTGTTTCAGTTGTCAGCTGTTTTTGTGCCACTGACAGGAGACACAATGTACCTTTCAGCACAGAGGGTAAATCATCATCCACATAAATAATACTGCAGTCTGTTTTTAACCCCTAGTACAGTGTCAAGATTTTTCTCTAGAAAACATAAATGCTTATGAAATGTGTTTCACTCTGCTCCACAATCAAATACAAATTTTCAGGGCTTTGGGGAAAATGATTATAGAAGTCTTACCGAATCAGAAGTTTCAGCATTTTAATTAAGGCATCTTGATACACACATAACTTGATTAAAAAAAAAAAAAAAAAAAAGAAAAATACAAAAAAAAAGTATGGCAAGCTGATGATTCTTGAAGTATTAACAAGGAAAATGTGCAGCTCATTTAAGATTACATTGTATAGTTATAAACAGCACAGCTGAGAGGAAAATTAAATGGACAAATCCTGAGAGAGGCTCTGGTCTTTTAGCCTGTGACAAGCTGTACTTCCTGTGCTTGCAGGCTCGGTTTCACAAGGTATGTGGCACTACCCTGTAATGAATCTCTCTTTCTCCAGTTCAATCAGTGCATCTAAACCCCATGTGTGCGTCTGCCTTCACTCTCTCAGACACTTTATTTGTTACACCTCTTTGCTGTGCAGACGAAGTGATAGCCCCCCTCCACCGAAGGCCATCCATCCGTTTACAGTCAGCCCCGACATCCAAATGCCAGCCTCGGCCAGAGGGATGACCGGTCAGTGGTGTCTGCCAGCTGTGAAATGAGTTGCACTCTCGTGTTCCTATCTGCCACCATACATCCAGCCCTGCAGAGCTGACACAAGTGGCTAGAGAGGATTAATTCCCATTTCATTCTCCACTGAGTAAACCATTAGTTATTTAACAGAATTACCTGTGGAATTCCACAGTTGTCGATTCAGTGTAGCAGCAGACTCTGGAAGAGGCACCAGGATTTTAGCACTAATTATCTGCAGCATTAACTTGGAGTTTACAGGCATCATTCGCTTCAGGATGGATTTGTTATTTTTGTGGAGGGAAAAAGGATATTCGACTTCCAGAGGTACAACCACAGAAGGCCATGATTAGGAAATGCAATTTTAGCCAACCGATTATTTTAGTCTTCACCTGTCCTTTAAAAACTGTACTGGGCTCTGCAGCAGGACTTGCTCAGTAGTCACAACTTGGATGGTTACTGTACAGTCCTAACTGGCAAACCACAGTTTTCAAACTATGTGGGCTAAGAAACAAATTCAGAGACCGGGTAGTCAAAGCATTAGGTTGATGAACAGGCGATCTGCCTATTCTTATGAGGTTTTTTTTCAAACGTAGGTCTGCCACTGCTTTTGCAAGTAATTTCTCCCCAGTTTCCACTTTATAGTCAGAATACTACTACTACTACCGTCCTTAGTGATGCTCATTGGACATATGGGTGTGAAGCCCTGTTTCTCAGTCAAGTATTGTTAGCTCTTGCCTGCCTGTGACAATTCATTAACAGTAAAAATTGTAAAAGTATGTACAATCCTAAAAATTGCTATTGCAAATCCTTGCATGAAATGAACAATAAAGTCATGACACTGTATACTGCTACCTGGTCTGGGCACTCCACATCACTAGGCAGACAGGATATAGTCAGGAGAGGATTCACAATTAGCAATTTTGGCAGGTTATCTAGAACAAATAATTACATTTATTTCACTCTGATACCTCCTGATATTCCATCCTGTGTGATATCTATCATAAGTTAGAGGGCTCAGACAAACAGTGCCTCACCTGGCATGAAGTCTGCCACAGTGGGATGATCCTTTTACATGTTTTTAATAAATTTTAGCCAGCAGAGTGAGTTGGTATGGGTTCAGTACTTTACATGACAGTTTTGATCTATGAGGAATTGCCCTAAAGTCAAGTTTGCTATCTTGTGGAACCTCATCCTTCGACGAAATCAAGCATCTCAGCTCCATCAGAAACCTCAGCCAAAGTGGATGTACTTTTAGCATCATTTCCTCTAAACGAACAATGCTAATTGTTGCTGTTAGCTTTACACATACGTTTCACATACTTGTCATTCACTGAAAAGTGCTGCCCAGCACAGAGGCATTTTGATAGCAATGGAGATGAGCTCCATTTATTACACATCCTTTGACAAGGGATCTCCAACAGGCAAGGACAAGACCATGTTCTTCAGTCACCGATATGCACACAGGCTGGCATGTCGACGGACTGACCACCTGCACTCCTACAGTAACTCCTCTGAGTATGTCAGCACTTCAGTCAACAACACAGGTTTGCTCTTAAAATAGGCAGCCAGTATTTTAAATGGACATGCATTTCTGTTTTCAAAATAGCATATCTCATTTTCACTTTCAGAAGAGGTTACAATTAACCTTTCTTCAAAAGTGAATTTGTGGCATTTTTTCATAGGTTTGCTACTTTTCGCAAACTGCTGCTTCATGCATAAAAGGGCAGTGTGAGGGAACTGGACAGAGATAAGACCTTTCCTCCACTCAGACTGTGCATTTCTTTCCAATTGTTTTTTTTCTAATCTCGCTTGCTCAGATAAACACACATGTAGCTACTTTTGAACAGAAAGGATGTATTATTGCAAAGCTATACAAGAGTATTATAAGGCTGTGTTTTCAAAGTTAACAACCTTGAACCTTCAGTCCCAGCACTGGGAAAAAAAAAAAAAAAAAACCCACGCTATTAAACTGAGTGAATGAAATTCATCTCAGTGCCATATGCCCACAAAAGAAGTGGAACCACATGTCATATGTAGGGTCCTCTTTGAAAGCAGAGGCATGCTGTCTTACAGATGGTTCTCCCTCTTGCTCTCACCCAAGGAAAGCTTTTCCGGAGTGTGAAAGGAGTAAAGGCAGTTTTGTGGAATAAATACTGCAATAGATGTCATCTAATTTCATGAGCCCTGATGCTACTACAAAACAATGTTCATATTCCGATTCCGTCCAGAATTGCTTTTTTACAGACGCTACCCACCCAGAACTAGTTTTATGGATGTAATTTTGCTAAGTTGCAATGGAGCTTAACTTAAACAGCAATTTCAACTATGATATGTAAAGAGGGGCTCGTGCTCCAGTCTCCCCAATGCACTCAGCTTTGCTTTTGCTCCCCCCGGCCCAGCCCTCAATGTTAGAGCAGCAGGAGAGCGAGCAGCCGCCCCCCCGACCGCACGCGCTTGTTCTCACCGGGGCCCTTCCCTCCGTGCAGAAAGAGCAATGCCACCTCACATGAAATAGCTCCCTTCAGCTTCTCAGAGGCAAGATGGGTCCTTCTGCTGCCAGTGAAGCTTCAAATCCCTGTTACCTTGTTTGCTCAGCCACTGTAGCTTTCATAAGCCATGTGTTGCCACTTCTCTCAATTGTCTTTTGCCATTCTTTGAAAAAATAAATACCTCCCCCCCTCTAAAACCAGAAAAAAATATTTTATTGACAACATTAAAGAATAAAAAGATATTTTTGGAACTAGATGACATCTCAAAAATAATGAAGTGTCAAATACTGACTAGCTAAATAGGCAAGAGACACCCTGAATGCATTGGCTGCATCACAGTCACCCCCCATATCCATGCAGGGCTGATATGTTTTGACCCTTCAAACCCTCAGAAACAGCCTACTGAGATTTTTCTGCTGAGCAAATCCCTGAAGCTGACCTTAGGCCCATGAGTCCAGGACCATTTTCTCCCCATTTCCTACCCTGACAAAGTTAAGGTGTACTGAGAAGCACATTGGCCATATTCCTTACTTTACAAATCAGGCATGGAAGAACCTTCAGGTCCGGTAAAAGGTAAGGTAGTTTTGAGACACAGATTGGGACTGCTCGAAGAGAAAATCTAGGTCTCCACGCTGAACTTCCAGCAGCTGGCTCCTGCTGGAGCCCCATACAACAAAACGGTGGTGACCTCAACACTGAACTCTGTGGAGGTACTGCTGGCATCAGTCACGTAGGGCACCAAGGAACTTGCCTCTGCCAGCAGCCTGACGTGGGGCAGATTCCAAAAGAGAGAGAGGTGGTCTCTACAACACCTTCATATCAACAGTGACCAGTAGCATGTCCCATCCATGCTGCCAATAAATGCTGTGGCACAGCCTGTGGAGCGTATGGGTTTACTTTTATTGCTGGAAGATGGGAACAACCTGGGGCTCACTACTCTCTCTACAGGGTCTTGCACCAGGATGTGTCGTCCCCATCCAAGTTTTCACAGGGATGGTGTTGAATCCTCCTGTGACAGCCACTGACACGCTGAGCACCCTTCCCATAGACAGCAGATGTTGTTGCCTCAGGATAATTATCTGGCTAGGTCAGTGGAGACAGATTGGCCAAATGTGGAGGGAAGGTCCAAAAACGAACCAGCGGATAAAGGACTTCTTGGTTGCTGAAGATACTGCACATAAGGTAGTGAAGTACCACAACACAGAAGTTTTTGCTTGCTTCTTCCTGACCTACACATCCAATAGTGACAGGAAATCTGGTCACCATCTTTTATGGGAAAGTTATTGACAACTAGGAAATTAATTCCTCAAAGTAACTTTGAAATCCTCAACCAAACTGCATAAGATGATTTCTTTCTAAAAAATGATTGTTAGTGTGCAACAAGTTAAGGGATTGCAAACCTTTGCAAGTCCCCTTCATGTTAGTGGGAGTTCTGCACTTACCATTGGATCCAGGATTTCACTGCCTGTGAAGTGGATTTAAAAGAATAAAAAAAAAGTATACAGACTATTAATTAACTGGTCATTTAGAAAATCATAGTAACTGTTTCTCATCAGTGTGTATTAACTGTAATAATTATAGCCACCCTGATGGTTAAAAAAAGAACATTTATGTAATTCTCTGACTAATTTCCCCCTGCATATGCAAATAAAAATTAGTTAAAAACTACTACAATAGTAACAAATTTCTAACCAACAAATGTCAAAGGCTGTAATCTTATCACATTAGTTTTGGAAACCTTTTACATAACTTGCATAATTTAAATATTTACAAAATATAAACTTTCTTGTCTTATCAAAAATAGGTCTTTGCACATTTAAATAAGAGAAATGCTTTTTAAGCCAGGCATTAAATCATTGCATAAAAATAAACAACCTTTCACAGATGTAGAATAAAATTGAGCCAACATATGGAGGAGGAGGAAATGTTATCAATAACATTTTAAGCATTTTAGTGGTGTGAGCCAATCCATAAATTACATTGTGCATTGAACTTACTTAGGATGAAACCTAATGAAAAGTTCTAGCTGCTGCTTCTATAAGAGAAAGCAGTATTTAAAAAGATCTTTTGCTCTATGGCAGATGTCTTTGGGCTGAATCTTGTATGGTTAATTGTGAAAATAATGGTGAACCACCAGTGAGATGGTTGAACGTGGCAGGTTATTGCATACAGTCCAACACTGGGGTGACAACCGGCTGACTCACAAAGTGTGTGTTCAGATACTGAAGAAATGCCTGCAAAGGATTTCATTTCCTTCAAATACCAAACTGTATTTCTGTCCCTCCTCAGACCTGTCCTTTGTGTGTTTGAAAGACAACCTATAAAAAAATCCCGAGACTGCTATTTGGTATGCTGTTCCCGTTCAGGCTGTGCTCTAGCCCCTCTGCTCTGGACATAGCTTGCTCCACACCAGTGGACCCTCCTCGTCCACCCAGGAAGTGCCCAGCTCTCTGCAATCACACATTTTCCTCAATACCAGATGTTTTCTGTGTATTATGCAGAAGGCAGCTTTCCAAACGGCTGCAAAGCAAATGCTCCATGGTCAACAGCAGAACATTTCCCCTATCTTTTTTTTTTTTTATCCTAAAGTCTGCAGAAATAAACCATCTAGTGGATCCACCTAGCCCTAGTTCTAAATATACAGACATAAGGATTATATCTAGCGTGTCTTACACGACCTCTTAACTCTTTAGTCTCTGGCTAATGAGAGCTTGAGTTTTCTCCACTGTACCTACTGACCACATGGATCTTCAGGATATCGTGGCTATTAAAGACTTGGAAAGTTTAATGTCTGTCCCTGCTCATGGAGTTACATTTTCAAATGTGTCATCAGGAGTCCTTTACTGTTGTTTTAGCTGTCCCAACATGCAGGCTGCTGTTCACTTGGTTGCTCTTTCATATGCCAAATGCTTGTACTACCCGTTGGTTGGCAGTGCCCATTCCCCCTGAGGCTGATCCCCCTGCAATCCCACACGGTAAGAGCCATTGCTGCCTGTGCGGCCGGCATGTGTACCAAACAGTGCAGGAAGGTTTGGCCGTGTTTTCTGTACTTCATCTTATTTGCAGGTGTGTACGTCGGTCATGGTCTCGCACCTCCGGCAGCGCACATAGCAGCACCAGACAAACTTGCATTCACACCTTTCCACGTGCCTGACGACGTGGGTGTTGTACCCGCGCCCACAGCAGAGGAGGTTGCAGCCGTCGGGTCCCTCTGAGGTGCGGTTACATTCCCTTCCCTGAGTCCCAGGGATCCCCAATTTTTGGTCTTCGACACAGTAGTTGGGTGATTTGTTCACATACAGCAGGTCTTCTTTCCCAATTGGTATTTTTCGTTGGCTCTTCTCTTTCCTGCGTAGCTTTTTTTTCAGTCTGTCTGATATTTGTATGCTGTTTTCATACTTATCCTTTAAAAACCGGCCAATCTTTTCAAAGGAGGACATTGTTTTCCAGCAAGTTTTCACAGCACAGGACCCAGAAACACCGTGACAACGGCAATCCACTGACATCAGCTTTGCTACAGCCTGAAAGCAAAGGGAGAATGACATTTGGATGCAGTCTTTCATTCATTAGGAATACTGCCTGACATCAGTGACACAGAGGTTTCAAAGCATTTAATATTACAGCTGCCATTGCCATCTCAGTGATGGGGAAGCCAGAGCACAGAAGGATACATGTTAGGAGTCAGATTTCCAACTCCGGAGCCCCACTATGAAAAGCCTGATCTTCAGTGCCCTGCATTTGTCCTTTGTAATGGCACTAACGTAGCAATACTGGATCACAGTAATGAAAGCTTACATTTCTGGCTGGCTTTTCATTCTGGAGGATCCTAAATACCTGAAACAACATGTCCTGTGTCACTCCTCCCACCGCTGGAATGCAAATGGCCCTCTCAGGGAATAACAGGAGGGGAAGCAGGGATAGGGCAGGTACTGGCACCATTCCTACAGTGGAAGACATTTACTGGGCAGGTCTATGCCATTTTTTAAGGATGCCTTGCAGCTACCATCAAGATCACTACGCATTCACAACACTGTATGTAACTGTGGTCATGGCAATGGCTTGAGATTGCACAACAGTGTCTGTGCCACCAGCGTGGCTCAGCATCCGAAGCAGCACAGCTACAGCCTGGAGGCACTTCGGGGCAGACCTGTGTCGGAAGAGCAGGAGGATGCCCACGTCTCTGAGCTCCACGGAAAGTTGATCAAAGGAGCCACTCTAGCTCAGCAGAGGTACCTTCAACTTGGGAATTCTGAAGTAAATCTCAGATGCTCCTCATTCACAGGATCAAGCCCTGTTCTTGTAATTTAGGCATACTAGTACTATCATGGGTTTCTAGTGTTTCCAGTTGCATAACGGCTCTATTTAACACAATATGATAGTTGCATTTTATAACTTTCAATGTTTCAGCAAAATTTCCCGTTATTACCAACATTAAAATACCCTTAGATGGGTTACTTTTCCACACCCATGAAGAAGCAGGCACTGGGCTGAACAGTAAATGCCTGACCAACAATGGGAATCTGCAGCCTGCATTAAGCTTTTGCAACACACAAGAATTTTGGCTCAGTTTATAAGAGACCAAGCCTCAAAGAACTGGAATCTGTAAACAAGCAGTAACTTTCTCTATCTGGGACTACAACTCAAATAGTCAGCAGACAGTCAATATAATACTTCCTTCTGGAATATCTAATAGATATAGCATAAAATTATACAATTAGACTTGTGACATATCTCACATTAGAGTTTGGAAAAGTGCACGGAAAAACTCATGCATGCACAGATACAGCAAACGGACAAAGTATCATAATTTTTGTTTTGTTCTGTTTTGTTTTACCTTTCCATTAACATACTCTCTGGAGCCATCCTGTAGACTCATACAGGCCATTGGTTAATGATGTGGAAAGCCCATGTTACCATCTTCCATTTTACTAACCTTTCCCCCCATATTTTATTTCCACAATTAAGGCAATAGGGAAATTTAACAGAAAACAAGAATTTTAAATTAACACAGAGTAAGTTTCTCTGAAACTTCTCATGAAGCAAGGCCAATACATATTTAAATTATTCCTCTGTGGAGGAACCGCTATTTCCCACAAAATGGAGAAGACAACCCCCCATGCCAGCATCATGGTGTTTATTAAATTTCATCCTAAACCTTCACTTAGCTCATAACTTTCACAAACATTAATCACTGTCAAACTATGTCTCAAACTACCTCAAGGAAGAAAAAAAAAAAACAGAAGACAGATCTATCTAACACCCTCCTCTGGGTTTCCCCTGAGAAAGTAGTTTCATTTGTGCCAGTTCCTAAGTCTTGATTCTGCAATGAGCCCTGAAATCCTACTGAGCCCTACTGACCCTACACAGGACCAGAAATAAACTCAAGTCCCAGTCTGCTTATTTGTAGCTCAGGCAGCACAAAGGACATCTTCAAAGTTTCAGAACTAATCAAGGCATGGAGTAGGTAAAATGATCTGCTTCTACCCTGTGTGTTAAACTGCGACTTTTTGTCATGGTGAATGGGGTCACTGAAGTTTGGGATGAGTCCCACATGGTTAAATCCATTGATTTCAGTGGGAGTTGAGGTGTCCTGGCACATTCTGCCCCAAATATATTGACACAAGCCTGAGTTGGTATTTGCGTATCACTCTACAAACATTATTAAAAATACACAGGACCAAAGTCTTTGCTTGGAGTCACGTCTTTGGTGAATGAACAGGACCTATTTGTTGGTAGAAGTTATTATGGAAGCCAAACAAGCAAGGCATTCAAAGAACCATTAACAAGAAAGAGCAGGTGTATGCCCTGACCTAGAACAGCCATCAGCCTTTGCAAACTAAACCTGGTGAAGTGATGCACCACTACAAGAGATATTCCCAAATTCTGTAGATTGCATTTGGGATTGGAGATTTTTACATATCCTGAAAGAAATAAGAACACTGCAACAAGCAGACCCTCAACCCAGAGCACACGCAGGCTCTTTTAAATCAACTGCCAATAATTCCTGTAGATACTTATCTTCTCTCCTTCACAGGCTAGTTTCTGTTTAATAGACAGACTTGAACTTGTGCTTGTATCTTAAGAATATATCAGTAAGGAAATCACTGAGTAGTCAGAATATGCATCATTAAGATGTAACAGTGATTGAGGCAGATAAGGATTTGAGATCCAAGGACAGAAAGTCTTTGTAAGAATACAGATAACCTAATAAAATGTCAAGGAAAAGAGAAACACACTATCAAAAGATAAATTTTGCACACAATTTACAAACAGAAGGGATTCCAATTTCTAGTTACTTGTATCAAGCCAAGTAACTAGAATCTTAGTTTGAAATCACATTGTGCTATAAGATTTATAAGGTTACAGATATAATACTTGCTTTCTCTGCAGTATGACAGAGTATTAGCTAAGGAAAAATACACAGTTTGGCTTAGGGAAAGAAGTATACTTCCAAGTCTGCTAGAATCAGGCATAGTAAAATCTGTATGAGGCAGAAGGATCCAGAAACTGTCAGGGGAAGCACTGGACATATCTGCTAGGTACTGAGGATGAGTTACTTCCATGTGGGCAAGTAGCCCGGCAGATGACACTCAGTCTTTCTCTGAGAATGAATTAATATGAACTAAAGGTAGACAGAGTTTCTAAAGAGGAGCAGAAACTGATGCTGGAGTCTCAGATTAATATAAAAATATAAAAATGTGGCATATATTAGCAGTGTATGGCCAATCAGATGAATGCAAGAAATACAAATGTAACTGGGTGTGGAAGCACTGAGAACATACATAGCAGTTGCCAACATTTGTGTTTTTATTCTGTGTTGCACAGGATTCTGTGATATGAAGCTTTGATGCATGATGTTTTAGAATGATTTATGGTGTCATCACAACTGTGCATGACCCCAGGATGTGGCTTCCCAGCTGCTAGGATGGGCAAGTTTTCTGGTTGGATTCCAACGTATTTTGGGTTGCCTCTACTCCCAGCACAAGGAGCTGACATCTTGCTTTGGTTGATCACAAAACATGCCGCTAGATCTCAGGCCACCATGTGAACTTGAATGAACAAACTCCCATAGTTGAACATCTGGCAAAATTTAAGGACTAAGAATATTCTCTTGCTGTTTTCTTGCAAGCAAACCTAAGATGGTGCCTATAGACCTCAAGCAGCCTTCTGGAGGGACGCGGCTGCATCCCGCAGCTGTCTCAGCAGCACACAGAGTTAATGAGATGCACAGTCACTGAGGGCATGACTTCCAGACTGACTGCGCAACCAGTGCTCAGTTTCACACCTTTAGAGTCACAGGGTGAATCTTTTCAATTTGTGAAACTGCGAGAGGATTCTCCCTAAGGAACAAAATTTCACAGTGAACTTCAGAGGTGGTCATGAAACTGGCTGACTGCTTGTGAGAAATGATCAGTGTGGAACTGAGCTGGATCCACAAGTGTTGTGTTCAGCCACAAGCCCACCCGAGCAGTTCCTCTTGCCCCTCTTGCCACTTGTTGCCCTCATCTCTGGTGGCACGAGCCCAACAAGAGTTCAGGGTTAAGGGATGAACGGGATACAGTGCTGAACATTAACCTGAAAAAAAGATCATTTTTAAACTGACTTCTTTTCACTGACCTAATGCAATTAACAGAGGGAGCAGCGTGGGGTGGGAATGTGTGGCTAGAACATGCAGATGGGCAGAAAGCAGAGGTTGGTCTGCAGCAAAGGAGAGTATTGGTGGAGTCACAGTTTGTATACCCCTTAATGCCCATTAATGCTTAATATCTCCAAGCTGAGCTCCCTGTTTGCAGGCACTGTTCTAGGCTGTGAGATGGGCTGCCAGTACTTGTTCTGCAATGGGAACTGATGCCTGTAATTAAACAGCCTAATTTAAGCCACTGGTAGAACTAATAGGACTATTCATGAAGACAAGCACATGTCCTACCAGCGGTACAGCACTTAAGAACAGTTGCAGACTGTTGGTGGGTCTGTTACCAACCCACAAGTATCAGTAAAAATAAACTCTGATGAGCCAAGCTATTTCAATATGAGAACACAAGTCCTGTAGATCAAATACATTTCCACAAGTGGAAAACTGAGCAGAATTCTTCCTTCAGTAAAAAAATACTAATATAATAATAGTCAACCCATAGTGCCTGACTCCCCTCATCCTTTTATATAAGGAGCAGAGGTGCCCAACTCACCAATGCATGCACATCTAAGTACACTGAACATCAGAATGCTAAAAGACAATGAATATTTATCTTGTGGCAGAATAAGGAATGAAATCTGGATCTTCTGAGGTTCAAGTTAGTCTCCTAAAGAGTGGACAACTCAGTCAAAGGATCCTTACTGTTTTAAAATTGAAATATCTTGTGTTGTGGTTTGGGCCTGATTGGCAACCAACCACCGCAGCTAATCACCCTCCCTTCCCCCTCCCCACCTGGGAATGGGGGAGGGATTAGAGGGGTGAAGGGAGACTCGCAGGCTGAGATAAGAACAGTTTAATAATGGCAATAAAATGAGAACAATAACGATGATGGGGGAAAACAAAAAGAGATATATAAACAGGCGATGTACAGCGTAATTGCTCACCACCCACTAACCAATCCCCAGCCCGTTCCCGGCCAGCGACCCCGAGACACCAAGATCCCACAATCGCAATCCCGGAAGCAAGAGAGCTCCTTCCCAACCACCCCTCCTTTATATAGTGAGCATGATGTTCCATGATATGGAATATTTCACTGGCCAGTTAGGGTCAGGTGCTGTGGCCGTGCTCCCTCCCTGCTCCCTGTGCCCTTGCGCACGGGCAGGACATGGGGAGTCGGAGAGTCCTTGAAGTCTCGGCAGCAGCTGAAAACATCAGTGTGCTATCAGCATTCTTCTCATACCAAACCCAAAGCTAAATCCAAAACACAGCACTCATCTAGTCCCTGAAAAGGAATATTAACTCTACTTCAGCCCAAACTAAGACATCTTGGATTTAACTAATCGATGTAGAATTATAAAATAGCATTTTGTACAGAAATGAACAAGAGAATTCTGCACATACCAGTTCCATTAGTAGATCCAAACAATCACAGAAGTATTGTCCCTGGAAGATTGCTCTTGCAAGACACAGATGCATGATAGGTCATAAGATACCAGAATATATTGCAAAACATCCTTCTTGTAAGCCCCAAAACATGAAGGTCAACATTTTCCAACATCTCCTAGTAAAGGAGTTTGGAACTACAAAAATGAAGACTTCTGCTAAACTTTACTTCAGCCAATATTGCTGCTAGAAGTCCCAAGCACCAATAAACATTCTTTTTCATTCTGGACAGTGGTCAAAATATTTGCTTTATCCTACAGTTTGCCATTAAGTTACAAAATATTTATGCATGGAAGCTGACTAAATACTCTGTGCATTTTCTTCCAAGATAACAAACAACAAATACTCCATTGATACAAAATCAGTGAAATAAAGGTCTTCTGGCCTTTCAGGCTTGCAGCAGATTGGGGTTTTGTTTGTTTGTTTGTTTGTTTGTTTGTTTGTTTGTTTTGGTTTGGTTTTTTGGTTTGTTTGTTTTTCAAAACATAAGTGTCTTGGAAAAGGAATGAGCATATGTATCCTGTGCACCAAATAAGCCTGTGTGACTGTGCTTTGAGAGCCTCATTGGAGAGCTCAGTATTGTGAAAAGCCTGGAACCCTGAGAGCTCCTCAGGACCTAATGGATCCTGTTGGGCCAGATTCTACCACACTCCCAGAGTCTGACAGCCTGGTCTAAAACTCTGGTTTCATGAAGTTATGTACAGTAAGAGGTACCACTTAACATGAAGAGTAATAGAAGATACTGCAGTTGTATGACATTAAAGATGTGGACACAAAATTGATTATATTTTCATGCATATAACCAGTATCTGAGATAAATTGGATCCTGTCAAAAATACTATTAATGGAAGATGAAGACTCACCTAACCACATCCTCCAACACCTTGTAGCTTTAGCTCACTGTTTGAAAATATGCTATCTTCGGCTGAGTGCACTCTTCCCCTTTGCCAGGCGGTCCTGTCCCCATGACATAGGTGACCCAGCTGTCTGTGTGACTGCTACAGATGAGATCAGGAACTGATCCAACTTTGAAGGAAGCAACAGCAAAAGAAAAACTTCTCTTCATGGGTGGGGGGTGGGTGGGTGGGGCTGTGTGGGGGTATGTTTGCACAAGGATGGTACAGGAAGAGCATAAGTGAACATTGTCACTGAAGACAAAAGGACAGCAAACTACTGCTGCTTCTAACATACAGGCAGACAAGAGGAGAGGGCATCAAAGAGAAAACCTGTGTCACTGCCACCTAAGCACAGAAATCACCTTTCTCTCCCTCTCTTTGAAGTTCCTCTGGAGCCTTGCAGTCTTCTTCCCTACACTTACATTGTCACCCTAATCTGAGAAAATTACACCGTCTAATGACAAACATGAGTATTAAAATAAAAACTCATATCTGAATATCATATATTAAAAATAATTAATTCATATCGTATATTAAAAATAATGAAATTAAGAGAGATAATTTTATGGAGATGATTATCTCCTCTCTTAACTCCCTCTCTCTACAAATGTGATAAATGACCCTCTGCTCTTTCCCTAAGGAAATAATCACTTAATCTTCTGTTCGTCTTATTAACATTCCCTACTACATAATACCAACCACCTTTCCTTGGAGATGATTTAGCTGACTGGCATCTAATTAAACTCACAGTAACTGTTCTCAGCATCTACTTAGGTTTCAAGTTTGCTTCTTCCACCTCAGTCCTGAAAAGGACCTATGTCCCTAAAATACTTTCTGTTTTTCCAACTATATAACTTAATTAAATTAAATAACATATATTACCTTGTAAACTGTAAAAATTAGTTTAAATTAAAATAGTTTGCCATGATACCACCATGGCCCTTATGATGTCTTACTATGGCAATTCCTCATCTATGGCAGACAGGAAGGTTTTCTTCAGTAAAACCCACTGATGCTGCTTCTGGCTACAGGAAATTACTGAGTTACAATGGAGTCCATCAATATGTGTAGTCAAAACCAGAGGGTCTCCATTTCTTTTCTTCAGTTATAGCTGTGTCACTCAGCAGAACAAATTTAAAATATTATGGGGCCAGAGAGAGCCATTAAACACTGACGAAGTGAAAAACTCCAAGGTAAAGCAGAGAAAGTAATTTTAAAGCAAGAACCAGAATCCAAGTCTCTGCCATTCCAGATGTCAGCCCCAAGCACTGGATTATAGACTCACATCTCTCCGAACTGCTGTTTCTGCCCCCATTTATCACCCTGTGCAGAACAGGACAGGACGACCCAATGTCATGCACCCCCACACACATTTCCTTTGCAACTGTGAGTTTGAAGTCCTTTAGGCTGAAGAAGAGCTACCTGAGGCCAGATTCCTCTCACTTCTCTGATGAGTGCCCTAACCGGCAGGCTACTTTAAAATAGGGGTGTCATTTCCGTCCTGTCTTTGAAAAGAAAAGGTTAATTCTCGATTTCCTCTCTGAATGATTTTAGACTTCTGCTCTCAGCTGCGGACCCCAGACTGTGGGTGGGTAACGATGTTGCACGTCCAGTCTGCCAGCTCATTCAGTGTGAGAGAGAGTTAAAAATGCAGATCATGATAATAACGGAATAATCAGTGAAAAAACTCCTGATGTAGGATGCCGATAACAAGACTATTTCAAGTTTGCTACAGAATATCAAATATCTATTTAAGAGAACTCTGGTTAGCACTCCAGATCTAATTCTTATTTTGTGGATTTTATTTTAACCTGTGGAGTTTAGTTAAAAGCAGCCCTGATTCTGAATTTGCCCACGCTTGCTCTGGTGACATTAACGCTGTTCTTGCCACTGGCCCCATCTGTACCTGCAGTCACGGACAGGCCTCGGTGGGCCGATGCCATGTTGTCAAGGAAGGCAAGCAAGCAATCGTTGCCATTTCTGAACGGTGGCACCTACCTGCCTTCCAGCCTCGTTGTTGTGCAGGTTCATCGCCACCAGTCCGCTCCCACTCTTGCCTGTTACGTTCTTAACGGGCGCATCCAGGAACGTTCTGCTGAACGACATTCCGTAGTGGATATCGTCCGAGCAGCCGCCCCAGTGCCAGCCCTCGCTGGCCGAGCCGCCATGCCGCAGGCTCATGTCACAGGAGCACTCCGTCACGTTCCCTGCGCTGCACGATCGCGTCACCGAGTGCACGAGGCCTGCTGACGTCACTGCGGATATGAACGCGGTCTCCTTCGTGCCTACAAAGGAAGGCATGAATACGTTACTTCGTAATTCCCTCTGCTCGCCTTCCTGGCGGAGCTGTGGAAAGCGGTTTTACAAGCCAGGCTAATATTAAAAGGGAACAGTTACAAGTTTAAAGTCCTCACAGCTTGGTCTGTAGGGTTAACTTGTTTAAAGCAGTGGATATTCACGTCCAGCAAAGACTTCAGGGGCTCTTCATACGACCTTGTTATTAACGGTGCTGTTTCTGGCTGCTTGTGCCATGCGACTTTTGGTAACCCCTTTCTAAATCTGGTTGGGAGCTTTATTTGCCACAGAGACTTTCAAGCCAATTAGGTTTTAATAATAAAAAAATCAAATCCAAACCAAACCATACCTGAACCCGTTACTCTCCGCTCTGTTTTTCACTATTCATATTGATTTGAAGAAGAAGAAAAGGTTAGTTCAGATCTCAGAGGAGGAACCTGAAGGTCTCACAATTCCCGGTTACTTTGGTATAGGGCCAGAACTTACCTCATGCTAAGTTTAGCAAACATTGAGGTTGTTCTAATTCACAAAGGTTGCAAACAGCCCCAAGAATCTTAAGCCAGGCAGAAATCAGGACGGCACAAGGTTACTCAGGCCATGTGCTCTTCTGTCATAAGCTGGCCATGGGAAAGACAGCAGTTTAAAAAGTCTTTAACTGTTACACGATATCGAAGCATATTTTCAGAAGAATCATGGAGGGACCTGCCTGGGCCTCTTAAACCAGTCCGGTTCTCTGAGACATCTGGCATAAGGTGGCACAGACTTTTAAAACATTTTAAGCAAGGTATACTCTCTAAGCAAACTGAAAAACAATGGCTGGCCACTAACTGCAGCTAAAATTTCCCTGTACTAATTTTCACTACCATAAAACCAATTTGTTATTTCCAGTCTCCTGAGTTTCTGCTCACAGGCAGGAAAGTTCCTGTTTGTTTCTCCTATTGGTATCAGTCTGTGGTGCTGGCACCATCATAAAATGCTTCCACAGGACATACTAGTGATGCTTGTGGGTTTAGCAGTGTCACAGGTCTGCAGGGATAGTCCTTCCCAATGGACAGAAGAACTAACATACAATACGTATGGTAGGGTAAACTGCTCCCTGTTTTTGTTTCATTTTGTTTTCTCTTTTCTTCTTTGGAATATGCATCACTTTTTATTGCTCATTTTACATCTTCATGGTTAATGTTTGGTTCATTGGTTTTTGTTTGTTTGTCTGTTTGGTTTTTTCCCCACTGCTGTATTGTAGTATAAAGCGAATATTGCACAAACGCAAGATGAACTACTACAATACTTAAGTTCACATCAATGGCTGCGTTGAAATCATTGAGCAGAGTGCTCAAAAGAAACTTGCAGGATCAAGACCTTTGATACTGCCATTTGACACAAGCAAAATATCCCTATTTCAGTGCAAATTTCAGCGATTCCATTCATGCGATGCAAGCAGCTTTGGTCCCACTGTGCTGCGCAATACCACCTAACTGAGCATGTAAGGTACATTATAAAGCAATTCACACTGGTGCCGTGAGCAGATTTCTACCTGCAATCAAACGACCTTTTCGAAATACCATGTGTCATTACCCCACTCATTCGGTAATTATGACATAAGGGGATAAACCCGACACCAGCCTAAGAATAACACCATTTCAACACAGTTAAGTGGAGCTAGTCAGAGGCACCGTCACCCGCGGACGCATTAAGCAAAAATCACAGTAAGCAGCAATCATTTGGGAAAGACAATGGCAGGTTTTGCCTGCCCGGCTCTATTTCGTGTCCCTTGCGGTGGCCTCCCGGGGCGGGTGCGGTGACCGCCCGCCACGACGGCGCTGCCCTGCCCGGCTCGGTCCCCGCACCCGCCCCGCCGGAGCCCCGCTCCCCGCCGCCCGCCTCGCCCCACCGGGGGTCCCCCGCGCCCCTCCCCGGCCCGGCGGGGCGGCGGCGGGCGCACCTGCGGCCCCGGCGGACACTCACCGCTGCTGAGCTGGTGCCCGAAGGCGGCGGCGGCGGCGGCGGCGGCGGGGAGGGGGGGGACGGCGGCGGGTCCGCGGCGGGCGGCGGGCGGCGGGCGGCAGTCCCAGCGCTCGTGTCGGAACTGGCTGCGGCACTCCCGGAGGCCCAGGCGCGCTCCCTCCCGGATGGCGGGCACCAGCTCCGGCTTCTGCTCGCACAGGTCCTGCTGCCGGCGGCTCAGCGGCGGGCTGGCGCAGCCCGGCTTCTCCGGCCCGCCGGCGGCGGCGATGCCCAGCCACCTGCAGAAGTCAGCGGCCCCCCCCCACCCCGTACCCCCCCGCCTCCGTCAGCGCCGGGACCCGGCGGACACGAGGGGACGGACGGGCGCCGCGCAGCCCTCCCACCCGCGCCCGGCTACTCACATCCAGGTGCCGCCGCCGGCGACGGCAGCGGCGGGGCAGAGCCCGAGCAGCAGCGCCGCCCGCAGCAGCCACGGTCCGAGGGGGGCCCCGCGCCCCATGGCCGCCGCATCGAGCCCCGCCGCGCCGCCGCTGACCGCCGCCCGGCCCCCCGGGCAGCGGGGACCGAGGGGGACGGTCGCCAGTGGCGGCCCCCCCTACTCGGCGCTCTCCTCCTCGGGGGGCGAGGGGCAGCTGGCGGGGGACGCCCGGGCCGTCGGCGGGTCCTCCCGGGGAGGGTGGGCTGGCGGGGAAGGCGGCGGGAGGAGAAGCATTGAGAGCGCTTGATTCCCTTCAAGGTGAGAAAGAAGTTGGGTTTGATGTTTTCCCCGGCTCTGCCTCCCGCGGCCGCGCATTGGCCACCCGGGGGCCGGGGCGGGTCGGGGCGGGCCGGGAGCGCGGGGGGATCCGCGCGGGGATCCGCGCCCCCTCCGCGCCCCCTCCGCGCCCCCTCCGCGCCGCTCCGCTCCGCCGTGCCGCGGCCGGGAGCGGTGCAGCTGCTCGCCAGCCCCTCTGCGGGATGTGAGGCGCTGGGAGGGGTGCAGCGAGGGGGGTCCGGAGCGGCGGAGAGGGGCTGCAGGCAGAGGAACCTGCAGGTCTGCAGTGATTTCACCCACGGAGCGGAGAGGCAGCACAAAATACTGAGGCTAATAAATCATAACATACCCTCCGCTTTTTATTCAAATTTTCTAATGCTTTATCAGCATTAAGTAACTGTCTCCAGAGCCAGCATCAGTATTCATTAGGACAGCATTTGTCCACCTCTGTTAACTTCAGTGCAACACTCTTATCAACTACTACCTTAATAATTGTTAGTTACTCATTACACGTTAAAAGCCAATGAGTCAGCTAGCACCAGATGAAGAGCTGGTGTTGGCACTCTGGACTTGCAAGTCCTCTTTGATCACAATATATTGCTGCTTCCTTCTGGGTAAGCGGAACACCTGCACTAAAAACAATCTGGATAAAATGGCAGCTCTGTAAAGACTTTGATTTGACACAGTTGTAAATTAGCGAAATAGCTCTTGTTGACTGACAACAGCTCCAAGTGAAGAGCACAATAAATCATCACAAATGGCAGATGTACAACCTGTTGAGAAATAATCGCATAAATGCAATGTTCCCTCTGTCTTTTTCCCCATGGATGTGCTGAGATACTTTAAGAGCATAGGCCGTGGTACATTTAGATCTGTGGAATTATATCTCCTTCCTACTTCATGCTCATTTTTCTGCTCTTAAAGGATCACCAAAGCATCACCAGTTCTGGACAGATGCCATATGACCCCACGAGCTGTTTAAACTTTCCTATATGGCTTGTTTTCTCTGTTCAGAATTGTAGTCTGGAGAACATCTGCTTGTGGTTGCAGAGGAACTGAGTCCGGAGTGAGGGAAATGGATGGAGGACCACGTCGAAACAGAGGAAACTGGCCATGAAACAGGCCCAAACCAGCCAAAACTGTGTGGGCTGTGTCAGAGAATTATCTAATTATTCCAGGACAGATGGTTCATTTTATCCCCATTGCTGCTTCCTGGCTCCACCTACTAAAGATAATTCAAAGCCCTGGTCTAGCAGCAGTGTATTTCCTACGTGCTTCCTGATCTGCTATATGCATTTATCATCCACTCCAAAATGACTTCTTCCTCACAGTTCTTTCAACAGGGCTCTTCTCTGTGGTTGGTTTTGGTTTAAATTAGTATGGAGTTTTTAGTCCGAAAAACTTATATGTGAATTTTCCTCTAGAAGCTGCAGAACCTTATATACTAACAGTAATGTAAGATTTAAATTAGAAAACAATTGATTTAAAAAATTCCAATGCTATTTGTAGCATATTTTATATATAATACCATAAATAGATAACCTCTCTGTTGAGTTCCCATGTGCTGTCTACATTTTTTTTTCTACAGTAACCACTAAGTAGTTAGTAAAACATTTTGATCCTATACACGTGTGTAAAGTGAAACAGTTGCAATTTGGAGGGCTGATGCTAGGAAAAAAAAGTAATATAAATTGTAAGTGACTTCTTGAGATCATCCCGTTCAATCTCTAGCAGTGTCTGAAAGCAAAGCACGTTTTTCTATGAGCATCTGATTTAAAGAATTTTGGATTACCGTATATCTGTGTCCTAAGCCCCCATCCACCTCTCTTCCCATCTGTTTCCCTTACAAGCACTCCGTCATCGCCCACAGCCCCTGCTCCCCCTCTCCGCCCGCTGCAGCCTGATTCCCCACCAGCTCCCCCAGCCTCTGCCCTCCTCCCTCCTCTCAGCTTCCCACCTGCCGTTTGCACCATCTCCCTTTATAAATCCCTCCAGCAATACTCTCCTCTCTGGGCAAAAGCAGCATTTACTGCAGTATTACATACTACAGGAGTATTTCTAGTAGTTTAAAACTATGTGTCTGCATATAGGGTGTTGGCTACTAGGAAAGGAAGGTCAAACAAACTACTTTTCAAGCTATGTGCTTTGCAAACCTGCAAAGGGGCATAATTTGGAAATACCTTGCTGATCTACCAAAATGTATTGACATTTGCCAAATGTTTCTGAAGTCTGTTCACTGGTTCTAATTCACTGGTGCTTCAGAACCCTCTATGCTGGAAGACCATTCACTCTATGAAAGATGGCAACATGAGTGGGATGCAGAGACAGTGAATCAGAATCCAAGCCAAGGTCAAGTGCCAAGCCTCAGTGATCAACATTTACAGTAAGTCGGGGAAGATAAACTAGACTTACCGCTTATCGTACTTTCTTTAACCAAGGTGGGGCTGTCTGTAGCTATTCATACAAAATGCCCACAATTTTTCTATTTTAAAAAGAAGACAATAAACTCTTGTTAAAAGAAAAAAAAAAATGTGTCTAAGCTGAGTGGTATTTCCTGGTATTTCCTGATGGGACATTTATTAATTTACTATTTAATGATGATTAATGTGATCTTGATTCATTGTTAGATAATGAAAAGCAATCTGTTGTGCAGAATCTGTGTGAATAAGTGGATCACTTGGCAGATAATATGCTTCACAGATAGACCAACTATCTTTTTAAAAAGTTAGCGGCTAGTGCTCTCACTGTAAACAAAGTCTGCCATCTTATCTGCTAGATACAAGTACACACAAAGTTAACTTCTCCTAAAGAAGTCACCACTGCTGAAACCTTCATTCAAATTGTTTTCCTTCTCCTGGAATTTCCAATGCCCAACAGAGACATGAATAGAACACAGCAGCCTGAATCTTCCCACCCATATATATGGGTCAGACAGACCAGCATTATCCCTCTTATCTTAAAAAACTGAGCAGACATAAACCTGCCATCCAAAAAGAAAAATCTCCCATATTCTCTAAATCGGGTTATCTCTTCAGCTATGAAATGTATCATGTTTAGTGACCTAGCACAAATTCTATACTTCTAATGCAACAAAAGAGCTTTCAATCCACCTCAGTGCTTGGCTGCACGGCGGCACCCATCAGCCCTGGGAACCGCGGATGTGCTGAGCCTTTGCGTTGAAGAGACTGGAACCGTGTCAGGGTTAGGTGTTGTCATCAAGGTTTGTACGCGTTGGCTGTGACAAGCTCTTCTGAGGAAAGTGCCCGGGCTGTTTCCAGAGATCATGTGCCAGCAGAGCCCTGAGGTAAGTGTAAAGGTCACTTCTACTCAGTCAGTAGCTGTGCAAGGCTATGTGCTCAGCCACGCAGTGCGGGAAAATACCCTGGTAGCACGGCAGTGCTGCAGGTCTCCATGCACAGGTCTGCACGCTGCCGGGGTTACTGGGAATTGATAGCATGATATTGCAGAGTCTGCAAACCAGGCCTGTGCCTTGGGAGGCCAGACCCACCCCAGCAACCCCCATTCCCTTCCTCCTTGGCCCGCAGGCAGTGCTGATTACCTGAGACACCTTGCTCTGGCAGCAGGGACGGGCTGGAGGCAACCTATGCTTGCGTCCCGCTCCCCAGCAAAATAGTGGTACCCGAGCAGAGCTGTTGCTGGCTGTTGTAGGGGGCTGTTGGAGTCCTGTACCCTCGGTGAGAAAGGGCATGAGAATAGATGTGCAGTGAGAGCCCAGACTTCAGACCATGGGTCTCTTGGTACAGTGCCCCCTTGTTCTGCAGCATCTCTCTATGAGCTGATGTCTCAGCAGACACATCTCAGGCACTTGATAAGGTCAAGCTGGTAGTAGAAGGAAAGTTAGAAGGAGATGTCCCTTCTCCCATATATACCCCCCTGAGATCCCTCTGTCCAGAGCTTTAACACTACTGTTTTTATCAGTGTTATTATTCATTTTAGTATGTACAGCCTGAAAGTGTACACATCCTTTGCTAATTTAGATCTGGCACGCTGAGCTCACAAATGACTAGGATGACAATTAAAGTGCATCCAGTAATGACAGGGTGGCAGATGGAGACCTCACAAACAGATCTCACGAATATGTAATGATTCCAGAGGTACTCCTTAATATTATCTTTATAATAGCTGCACAACACAGTATAGAGAACTACATTTTCTATGTGCATGGATATATGAAAAACGGAGAGGAAGGACCTGGAAGGCAAGGAAAGAGCAGGATTGTCACAGTCCCATGTGTCCTTACCCAAAAATCCAGAAGAAAGCTCGTGTAGCTTCCAAGTAAGTTCTCCGGAGCCCAGAACTCCAGAGAGTTGCTGAAGCAATTGCTGAGCAGATTTCCTGGCAATCTATGTCTAGGGGTGATGTGCTGCCAGAAAGCCAGGAGTTAGGAAGGTGGGGCTCAGTCTGACTTTGGAGTCTGCTGTTCCCTGTGGTTGTAAATCTGGAAACAGTGTCCTGGATTTACCAATATTTACATGAGCTCTTGAGATCTGCTCAAATTTTGGAGGGATGCTGGAAGTAGATATGGGTTTCTTCCAAAGCGCTGCTGGCAAATTCTGTTCACTGACATGGATGGTCTAAATGTAGGTACTTTCTAGAGTTACTCCAGACACATGTTTTTGGCATACCAATGCTAAGTAAAATGTGTCAAGGGAATGCTGATAAGGCTTCAAAGCATAACTAAGAGGGGTGTGAAAGGTGTGGAAGAAAAATCCCCTTTTTAATTCTGATTTCACCCATATCCTACTTACTACTAAAAATTAAAATCAGTAGTAAAATTATATTTGATAACATTGCACCTTTATGCCATCAATGAATTTCCCTGGTTGTTTTGAGGAGGACAGGAAATGCTCTAGAAGACATGGTATTATGAAAAATGAAATGTTTCACTGACATAAAATTTGCTTGATGTTTTTCTTTATACTTAAAGCAGTATTATTTAAACTTTTTTTT